ATGGCTGGATCCAGGCAGCACAGATGGGGACTGGGGTGGAAAAGCCGGCAAAACATTCTCTTCTCATTGTGTGGCTTGAGCGTGGCAGATTCTTTGCAATTGCCTGGTGCACCACAGTAATTAAATGGGTCAAGAGCAGTAAGTTCAGATACTTAACAAGAAAATAAAGACCTCACTTGACAGCCAGCAGCGGGCCGTGCTTGTTTCACAGGAGCAAGGAGAATTAGGSCAGGTTGTGCAGTAAAAGTCGATGGGAGCCTTTTTGGCAATGATTTTGGATTGCTTCAGAGATCACCTCCCAATTAACTACAAGTGCTGCAGTGGCTGGAAGTSAGGTTGTCTTATGAAACTAATGCTCCAATTTCAGGTGTCCTAGAAAAAGGGAAACAATAGACTCTGTTTTTCTCCTTTCAGTGATATATAAGTAAGAGAAGATAAGAAAAGTAATGAGAAAGACACAACCAACCTTTGTTAATATTGAAATGTAAAATAATCCCCTTTTCATTGGACTGTTTCATGCATGAGGGGAAAATGAGTTGTGCAATGAAATAAATATGATAGAAATGAAATCCAAGATGGGAATTGATTTTTATAAGACTCTGGTTTGGAGGGTAGAGGTAGTTTCACACCAGCATTTTGAAGGAAATTGTTGTCAGTGCCCATCGTTCCTGGCTGGAAGAACGAGCTCCTGTTTCCCACAGCAGTTTTAAAGGTCCTTTGGGAGGGATGAGATCTTCCTCCTAAAATACTAAGGGACAAGTAACAAAAATGTTAAAGAAAAATTAAAACCCACAAAAAGTGTTTTGCCACAAACCAGGAGCTCTCTGCAGACCACCTCCCCTTGCAAATTAAGAGATGGGACCAACTTTGTTGCTGTGTTTGTAGATTGTTTTGGACTGAGCACTGTTAAAAGAGTTTATATTTTTATTATTTTGGACCCTTCTGCCTGTGTCCTTGCTGGTGGGAACCAGTGTCTGGCAGTGAGGGCCAGACTGTCACAACTTGGTACAAAACACCTCAGCTCAGTCACAGGAGGCAAAATCAGTCTCAGCTTCAACATGTCACCAAGAATCCCTCAGAAACATTGCTCATGTCTGTGCATTGTGGTTATTAGGTGCAAGAAATACAGTTTTTAAAATGGCAATTAATCATTTCTGAGTAATCTCTTTTTCTATGCTTTTATGGCATCAATGGGTATGACTGTTTATTATGTCTTACCTATAAAATCTGACCTGTTTTATATACTCTTTATGGAAACAGTGTACAGTCATAAATTAAAAGATGCAACTGTTTTGGATATTTTACTGGTGGTCCTGTACTTTCCTGCCAAAAGTGCAGCTGTTTTAGGTTTCTCGGGATAACATTATAAAAGGCTGTGTGCGTTTTGCAAGTTTATGCTTGGATTGCCAAGCCAGAGGTGGAATGACTCAACCTTCCCAGGAGCAACATGTACCAAGTGAGGAATCAAAACAGCGGCTGAAGCGCGGCCCCTGTGGAAAGCTCTTCTTGTTTATGGGGTTGTGTGTGGTGGTCAGGATTGGAGATGGTCRTTGTGCTGGTCCTGATGGGCTGTGGATCTATTTAATGGGGTTTTGGTGCAAAACCAGTGGAGAATCTGGTCTTGTACCTGTGTCATGGGGTGCAAGAGCTGTAGGGTTACAGTGTGGAATGAAGCCATCCCTTAGCAGGAGCTCTCAGCGTGTGTGGCTGGGTGGGAGCCTTGGAAGGAGCCAAGAGCTTGTGGCAGTGCCAGTGCAGGCAGTGTGTTTGTGTTTCCACCTCAGCTCCTGCTTCCATGTCARCTCTTGTTTTCATGTCAACTCAACCATCTGGAAGGTCTGGGGGCGGAATCAGATGGATCTGCAAATGGATGATGATGTTTAATTAAAGAAGGAGTTTAGATCCTTCTGTAGAAAAAATGATGATGGCTTGGTACAGATCTGATTCCCAGGGTCAGTGCATTCCAGGCACAGATAGGCCGAGAGCAAGATGCTCAGCCCTGTGTCCTCGGGCACAGTCTGGCATTAAGTGACAGAGCTGAAACCCTCCTGTTCCTGTGGGAGTGCAGGAAAGCTTCTGGTGGTGTCCTTGTCTTGGCAGGATCTATGCAAGTGGGGAAACGAACCGTCCCCCAGAGCGAGCACAGAGAACATAAAACCCCTCGGTGTCCTTAACGCTGTGCAGCTCTGGCTGTCCAGAGCGCTGGAAGGTGCACAGTTGCTTAAACTCATGGAAGTGTTACCCTGATGTGTTCAGCCRGCAGTGGGCAGCTCCATCTCCTTGCTTTCTCCAAAAGCAGCCTTGACCTCGCTGTCTGTGAGCCACAGAGGGGTTTGATGTGTTTGTTCCTGCACTAACACTGCTTTTTGCTGCAGGTACCTCACCCACGTSCGAGCCGCCTCCCCGCAGGATCTGGCCGGGGGCTACACATCCTCCCTGGCTTGTCACCGGGCCCTGCAGGACGCTTTCAGCGGGCTCTTCTGGCACCCCAGCTAGCCAGGGAGCACCAGCCTGTGACCAAGGGACACCCAGCGGGGAGAGAAGTGACCCGAGCCAGCAAAGGTGGGGCAGAACCGCTGCCATCTGCGTCGCTGATGGGCTGCGGTCGCTGCTCTGTGCACTTCTCGTGTGCAAAACCAGCTGTGTTCAAGTGTTAAAGGGAAAAAACAAAACCCGTCTGCACGAGAGCTTTGTGAAATGGTAGATACATTCTTGTGGAGGGGGAGCTCGTTATTCATGTGGCACTTTGCTGAGGGAGGCTGAAGCAATAAGCCACATCTAATGGAAGATGTGAATAACTCAGCTGTGTATGTTTGAGGCCTAAAGAAATACACTTGTAAATTTTTTTTAAATAAAGCCAGACTTTATTAAAGTTTGTGGTTTTGCTCTTATTGCAGGGTTTTATTTGCACAAGCATTTAAATGCCATTTTGATTATAACATTTAGTGTCAATATTCAAGCCTACATTTTCTTCCCATAAAACTAGTTTCCCCAGTTTAGACAAGTGGGTTTTTCCTCCTGCCAGCTGGATGAGATGAGAAACTCTGGAAATGTGCTGACACAACTCTTGTGTGGGATCCTTCCTCCGAGTGTCACTTGGTTCTTACCTTTGCCTGGAAAACAAATCTTTAGCTCRAAGTCTTTCAGCTGAGGTGCTCGAGAAACAATCTAAGAAGCCTTGATATAAGGGGAAGCCACTGAAATACTCAAAATTGTGCGGTTTCTTTGTGGGTTTTGTTTGTTTGTTTTCTCCCATTTAGCTCCATTTGTCAGAAACTCAGGAGATTTTTTAGGCAGGAACATCSCTTTGGCTTTGGGAATGATCCATGGCACTTGATCTGCTACTTTTTATATTCCTTCCCTATTCCTTGTAATGGAACAGTGACCAAGTGCAGCACAGATGGACTTCCTGTGGCAGGACAGGACTGTGCCATGAGCTGKATAAACTGCAGGACATAGGAAGCTGCTCAGGACAGTGACCTTGGACCACATTTTATGGGCCACCCACTGATAGCTGTTGAATCCTRCTCTGAGGAATGCACTAGATAGATACATTTTTTCTATGCTGGAATAAAGAGAAGAATTAGATCTATTCCACACTTAGTGCTTTTTTTATTAAAGAAAATGGGCAGAGGTGGTGGAATTTCCATTGCCCACTGAAATCCTGTTGGTTGTGCTCAGAACAGCTGGCGACAAGGGATGTTACACAAGGCAGAGGTAAAGAAAAGATTGGATTCTTCCCTCTCCCCCCTCTCACCTCCTCTTCCTTTTTTCTCTCCCCTCTCCCAGGCTCACCCAGACTGGCAAACATGCACCTCACCAATTATCTGTTTATATTCAGTTTGTAAAGCCCAAGGTCATGCCTTAATGAACGCAAACTGTATATGCATATTAATGTGTGTCATTTCAATACACTCATTAAGTGGTGTGTAGCTTGGCTATTCTTTATTATTTCATTGTTTGTACACAGAACTGGCAACAGCACAGAAATCTGGGAAAGCCCTGGTTAAGAGTGTAGTGACATAACTGCTAAACTTGCATTTAAACTGAAGTTATGCTGCTGGTGTAACGCTGGCATTCAGTCCTTAAGGGAACAAAACTTTTACCAGTTCAAATCCTTCCCTGCCCTGGGATGCTTCRGTGAAAATCAGTTATGTATTTTTTAGGCTTGACCCAGAAATGGTGGTCAAAGCCTGGTTTCTGTGGTGCAGTGGTGCCAAGCCCTAAATCTGGGATGTGAGGCAAAGTAAAGTCACAGGGACCTGCAATCTGTGTCAGGCAAGAGATCCCAGGGTGATGCGGAGTGGTTGAGGGCCTTATTTCTCCAGCAGTGTTCGTGGAGGGCTCCACAGAACAGGARCCACCCTGAGATGTTTATGGAAAGCCAGAGGGCAGCAGCTGGAGAGCAGCAGAGTCAGGAACTGTGACAGGCAGCGGAGCAGGATCCCAGCACAGCAGKACCAGGGAGCAGAGCACACTCAGGGATTCGGTGTTCGAGGCTGTGCAGGAACGCTCAGGCTGCAGTGCAGGCCAGGGAGGATTCAGGATACATGGGTGAGTCATGATGGCCTCGTCCCTGGGGACTGATAAATGTGATCTGCAGTGACCAGGCTGCCAGGGCTAGCTCCAAACACCACTGTGTAGCCAAGGGAAGGAAAGGCCATCACACGGAGCCAAAAGCAAAACAAATCCATGGCCCTTGGCGGTGTTTGGGTGAGAACCAAACATCCAGCRGGCTGCAGGCTCAGGGATGGAGCCACAGCAGCAGGGCCAGGATGGTGACAGATATCACCAGATTGCTGGGCGTGAGCTTGGAGCTTGGGCTGAGGGAAAATATCTGAAACTGAGAGGGCGGGGCGAGTTCTCTGGCCAAATAAACTATTTGTGGTTGACGTTGCCCAACAATAGTTTGGATGGGTAAGAAAAAGAAATCAAAGGCAGAGTCTTTTGAAATCCCTGCAGAATACAAGCAGCCAGCCAGAAAGATCATGCAGGGACTGAGCAGGGGAGCAGGCGCAGAGGTGGGGAGAGCTGGGAGAGGGCGGAGGCACAGAAGCCACGGGAGGACACGGTTTGAGGACAGAACTGTTTTCCAGGTGCTGGTTTCAGCCTGGCCCTGCAATGCAAGCGTGAGCTTCGTCTGCAAATGTGCAAAAGGCATTAGAGTCTTTGTGGCTCTAACCATGGGCAAACACAAAGTTAGCAGTCAACTGATCCCTAACTAAATCATGGTGTTAAAAAGAATTTTTTACTCAAAACCTCAGGATATTGGGCTATTGGCCCTTTTGGTATCTCAGGTTAAGCTTTTGAAAGGTTACCTTGCTTACACAAGAGTTGTTTGTGCATCTGCTAACCATAATCCGATATTCTGGAACCAAAACATGTGTCAGGGAGAATCCAAGGCAGGGGTTATACAAGTCATCTTCCTAGACCCGACAAGACATAAAAATCTGTTCTCCCCACAAACTGCACATTATCAAAATGCCACAGCAGAAAATCACCCCAGGCCACGCCACTGAATTAGTACAGGGCGTGGAACAACAGAGAGCAGTGAAGTACCAAAACACATTGATTTATAAAAGAGCAAGATTTTAATTTTTTTGTAGTAACAACAATTTCAATCTTATCAATCCCACAATGAAAAGGAAAGCTGCAATTTGATGGGAACACAGACCTGCTCCCAGTAACTCAAGGGACACCCTAAATATCCTTTACATAAACAAAGGTAGTCACCAAGGCTCTGGTCTTCAACTCAGTAACTTCTCTTCAGAAGAATCTTGACTGGTACACAGACGTTTTGAGGCTGGTTTTGCTGGGAAAAGGTTAGAAAAAGTAAATTTAATGTACAGTAAACAGACTGACCTAACCACAAACTCTAGAACAGGGAGCTCTGTTAAGGAATTTAACAGGAAGAGCTRAGAGTTAAAATCAGGATTAATAGTCACAAATGAGAACTGTTAGAACAATAATGGAGGGTCTTTACTGAATGCCAGAAAAATCTTTCAAAAAAAACACGTGGAGCTACATTTTGACCCACATTTCAGTGCTACCCAATAACAGAATAGAAATAGGTTTCATGTCATTAAAGCTTTATAAAAACCTCCTTTCCTCCMGTTCATGTAACTGCAGACTGAAAGCCTCCCTCTTCCCCTTTGTCATGTACTGCAAAGCCCAAGATCACTGAAACCAACCAATTACTTCAAGAAAAAATGAACAATTATTAACAACCAAATCCAGTACTGAAGATCTCTAAGGGTATCTATGTCTCAAACTGAATTCGGTACAGAACCTGATTCTGCTGATGTGGTGACTCCAGACCTCCCTGCGCCCATGTGAGCATAAGAGGGAGGTCAGAGCTGGGACCAGTCCCTTGAAGTGCCCTGATCTGGGCAAAAATGCAGCTCCAGTTCTGAAGTACTGAKCTAACAGAAACGTGTGCTTGGCATTAGATCACAGATCACTGAGTATCCTGCACTGGAAGGGCTCACAAAGATGACTGAGTCCCCCATCCTCCCCCAGAGCACAACCTGAGGCGTAATGGTCTGGTTTATGGCCTGTGGGGTGATCCTATCCAGTCCACCATTTTTCTAGGGAGCTCATGCTGGGATCAGAGGAGCAGGCTGCTGTTACCAAGAGTGAGGAAGCCTTGCAGCTGCTGCACACGTGCAGTCGMTCGGTCCTGCCGGCCACCTCCGTGCTCAGTGCCACATCCAGCACTGCTGTCACATACCTGGAGTGGCCCACGGGGCTGACAAGGTGGGACCAGCCCAAGGTGCAGCCTGAAATCCCAATGCCACGTGGGAGGTTTGCTCCTTACCTTCATCAGGGCAGGGCCTCTTGTACAGCACGTCTGCTGGGATCTGGAAACTGAGGCACAGCATCTCCTTGTTGGGCGCCACATTCCTGACCATGAAAGCGGAACAGCGTCCAGCCAAGGAAGTTCCCAGCGAAGCTTCTGCTCTTTCCTGAATGTCTCTGGCTGGGTTGGTGTGTTTGGAGAACCCATAGCAGTGCACAGTGGGAAGGGCAGCAGGGCTGCAGGGCTCCCCCACCAAGAGATGCCTGAAAGCACCCAGAAATTCCACAGCCAAAGCTGGCAAATTCATCACTATGTGGAAAGCGGTTTTCTGTTCCTCTTTCAGGAGTGGGAGCTCTTTGCTGAGCTCTTCCCTCACTGGCCCCCGCAGGAAGTCCCTGCCATCCATGTTGAAGGCTTTTACCTTGGTGTCCACTTTGTTGAGCTTGCAGTTGTGCAGGAGCCAGGTGTAGGACTCGGGGTTGAGGTCGTTGGCAAACACACGGCACTTTCTCCTGGCTGCTGGAATGGCGAAAGGTCCGATCCCAGCAAAGACGTCGAACAGAACATCGCCGGGCTTTAGCAGCTCCACTATGCGGCCGTGCTCTGTGGACAGGCGTGGGTTCCAGTAGACTTTGGAAAAGTCCAATTCATAGGCAATGTTATTTTCTTTGACCTGGAAGTCCAAAACATTTGGTTAAAATTCTATCTTCAAATAACCAGGCAAATTTGAGCACTATCAGTAATTAAGACAGCTAAAAACAAGGTGCTTTATCTAAAGGTAATAGGTACATCAGCATTGTCCTGCTGGTAGAACACATGAATCTTCAATAAACAGGTCAACTACGCAATCAAATAAACAGATCTTAAATCAACAGATAAATTCATCAGAAACAACCATCTCCCCACTGTCAATCCCAATGGCTGGCTTTATGCAGGTCTCAATCACCAGGTGGAAATAAAGCAACAACTTAAAATGACCCTAAAAAAACCTGAGGTTTTTCAAGAGCTTTGTGGATGGCTGACAACTCCTTTATTGAAAGCAGACCTTGGAAAGATGCCTCAAGCCCTCCYTTGTGGAGTGCACACAGTAAATAAGCGTCTGAGAATGATAGGCCCAAGAACGGGAACCGTCAGCCAAATTCAAAGCCACTGGGAGCCAGTTCTGCAGCTTGAAAAATACTGTATTTCATCTCCYAAGGTGACAGAGTCTGGAAACTGATCCAAACCCAGGCTTTGGGATGACCACTATCTTAAGAGCAGACCTGAAAGGAAACAGTATTTATTCAGACGAGAATGGGATGCAAGATAATACTCTCTTTGCACCAGCACATGGAATTGTGTGATTGCAAAGTGCAGTAACTTGGGATCCAAATCACATAGTTTATTTTGCCAGCAAGAAACACCCTGAAGTGTCTCTGCACTTCTGGATGCAGCTCCACGGTCTGCCAGGTGTGTGGTGACACCATCTGCATAATATTCAATTGTTGCTGCTGCTTTGACAATACAGCTGCCTTCTCTCTGCATGAACAGGATGTTCCACCAAGCTATTCAACCTTTTTATTTGGTAATCTCATGTTTTCTCTTTTGCAAGTGTAAAACTGCTAACAGGTAAGAGTATTTTTGTGGAAGCAGTGGCCAAGTTTCTAACTACAGACAAGAAACCCTATGTGAAGAATACTTGGCAGTTACACAGTGATTGCACCTGATGAATGTCAGAGCAGAGGAGACAGGAGTTTTGTCTTGCTGCTGACAGGAAAGGAAAAAAGGCAAAGGCAAACTGTTGCCTAAGTTGCAAAGTCAGTAAGATTGAAAAACACACTCTTACTTTCTGTACCAGTCACTGTACAAGGCTGGGTAAAATCAGGAAACTGGATTTTCTTAGATCAAATCCACACCATTAAATCTAGGCTGTGAACTTGAAATAATACATGTCTTCCTGATGCCCGTGGGTGAGTTTGCCCTTGGCAGACCAGGACAAAGGAATGTAGCAGTGACAGCCAACTCTTAGGCTCAGACAGGCGTCAGGAAGAACATTGTGCAAAGGAATGGTCCCAGCAGCATCCTGCATCACATCTCTCCAGAAAATGCCTCTGGGTTTTAGCACAATAAGTTTAAAATACCAGGAGAAAAAGGCCTGTACCTTGGTTACCAGGTTGTTCTCTCCGGCAAGCACTTCCATTTCAAAATTCCTGTATGTGCTGTCAATAATACTGGTTTTATTCACCACACAGGTGATTCCTGGATTCTTGTCCATTATAACCTGACCTGAAAGAGAGGGTRAAAGATATTCTGGTTAAGGGACCAAGACCTTTTAATGTTCTACAACAGCCACAACAAACCTGCTGTTTATAGGTAAATTAACAAAAGTTAATTGTGTGTTGGAACAACCTCCCTCTTTCCAAGGCTCACACTTCACCCTGGGCCAGTGCTCTGTAAAGAGAGCACCACACTGTGAGAGCAGACAACTGTGCCCCTCCATAAMGTATCTTTCTAACAATATACAAATCACACAAATACCTTCCTGACAGGAGCTGTTTTACCTACCAATCAAATGTCTGTAGGGTAGCTGGTGATCCCTGAGATTCAAATGAGCTATGTGGCCAACACGGCTGAATCCGGAGGTGACCTCTTGACCTTCGGGAAGGACAGCTCGCAGGATCTCCTCCGACTTGAAATTCTCGTAAGTCAGTTCCAGGTTGTACTTGGACACCTCAGGATGGACATTGAGCTGTTTGAGGATGTGTTGCTCTGACTCTCCTAATGAGAATTCTGGTATTTTATGAGGATCCAGGATAACAAATCTATTCTCCTCATCCTCTGGATCCTCCACCACACGCTTGAGGCCGGGACGCTGCAGTACTGATTGTTTTAGGGACTTCAGCACACTATTCACAATTTCTTTCTTGACTTTAAGAGCTGGAACAACCACTGTCCTTTTGAAAGCCTCTCTGTTGAGCAGTGTCATCCCACGYACTCCAGGATGTGGCAAATACAGTTCTGGATTAGCTTTATCCTCCACTGTTTCAGGCATTGTGAAGAAAGTATTTTTTCTAACTACTACAAARAGCCCAGGTATTCTGCCAGAATATTGTGCCAATAGCATCCAAACTGCTGGAAATGATGTATTTGATGCAGCTGTCCTAAAATGATTAGTTTTCAGTAGTCTGGCACAGTAKCCCAATCTCCACAAAGTCCTAGAAGAGAAATTACTCATTTTATAGACATTATGTAACCATTCYATTTAAAAGGCTGCAAATCACATGGATTTGCTGTTCTCTTAAACCAGAATTTCCATCTGCACCGAACAATTCACAATAGTTTAGTAAAGCTCTTTATTATGAAATATATTCTGCACATTTCTGTTATTTTGCAAATGTACTTTTAGACTCAAACATTAACTGACTTCAAGTGGCGAGATAATCCCCTCCTGCCAAAAAACAATGACCTCTCTTTGTTCTAATAAATGTGATATTAATCCCAGTAAGACAAATGGAAAGATTTCTACTGTCTTGATCCTACTGTTGGATCCCTCCTGTGTCTGGGAAAATTCATTACCAAGCAGTGGTTGCTAGAAAACAGTTATTAGCAACAGTGGTCATGATCACTTTTGGTTATTTCTGCCTCCCATGTCCCAGTGTGAGGGGTTACATGCTCTGTAAGATTTTTGCTCCATGAGCTGCACGCCAGAAAGGTCATTAATTAAATGTAATATCCCCCACACGGTCTAGAGGAGCATTAGTAATGTCTGTTCCTGCCACTGAGCCCTGGTTCATCCATGGGACAGAAACTGGAAAAGTGGCTTAACACTTCTCTAAATGCTTCCTTCACTAGACACAGACCAAAAGGGCCCAGTTTTGCTGCTTTGACACTGGCTGATCCAAGGCAGGAATCAATGGCTTAGGTGGTGCTGGAGGCTGGYGTTTCTCCTTGATTTCTTGGGAAGCTTGTTTTGAGATCGGGGGTTGATAGGAGAAAAGCTCTGAAAGGAAATAGATTCTCTCGCCTCCCTCGGCTGCTGCACCCCTCCAGCCAGCCAGGCTGTGTGTTCTCTTCTCTTCTCTTCTTCACAAACCCTGGCAAAGCTGGTCCCATTCTCCTTCCCTGCAGATCCCAGCTCCTCGCTGRAATTCCCTACATCTCCCAGCCAGCCCAATTCCCTAAGCCAGCTTTTTGGCAGACAACACCTCTGGAAAGACACACTGCATTCCTCACGTCTGCTGCACAGGAGAAATCCCTCAGCCAGCGGCCTGAGCATCCCCGCGATTTTCCTGCGGCATTTCCCTGGGGATGGAAAGGGCTGGCGTGATTCTCAGAATCAGAGAATCGMTTAGGTTGGAAAAGAYCTCTGCGCTCATCGAAWSGAACAGTGACCGAACACACCATGGCACTGGGTGCTTCGCCCAATCTGTCCTTAAACACCWCCAGSACAGGGACTCCACTACTTTCCTGGRCATCGWWCSAATGTCTGATCAGGCTTTCTGTGAAGAAATCCTTCCTAAWGTCCAARCTAAGCYTCCTYTGRCGCAAYTTGSGGCCATGTCCTCTCATCCTCTCGCTTCTCCGTACCSGATTAAACCCACAAGACAAAGCCGCCCGCAACGCTGGATCTGGCTGGAGGCCACTGCAGCCACCTTCCCAAGGCGCCTATGGAGAGACCATCCTTCCCCTCCTCACCACGATTCCCGTTTATCCCGTTCTTCCCTCAGGGAATTCTCTCCCCCCCGCCCCCGCCCTCACCTCATGCCGGGCCCCGCGCGCCGGGCGCGCGCGTCATCGYCGCTGCGCCGGGAGTGGGCGGGGCCGGCGTGATGGCCACGCCCCCAAAATGACCACGCCCACCATGTCCCCTCAGCGAGGCGGGCACGGGGGCAATGACCCCGCCCCTCGCTTGTGGCCCCGCCCCATTTTGACCGCGCCTCCCCTTGGCCCCGCCCCCGCCGCTCCCCTCAGAGGCGCTCGGCGCGCGGGGGGCGATGGCGGCGGTGCCGCCCTGGGGGTCTGGGCGGGTCCGGCCCCTGTCCGCCCGCGGCTGCTACCTGTCCGCCCGCGAGCAGCGGGAGGAGGACGAAAACGAGCAGGAGGGGGAGGACGGGGAGACGGCCCCGCTGCTGCCGCCGCCGCCGGGCAGCGTGCGTGTGAGGGGCGGCGGGGAGGGAGCGCCCTGCAGGGCTGCGCTGGGTGCTGAGGAGAAGCKCGGGGAGCGCGGGCTCAAAGGTCGGGCGGGACGGGGCTGTGAGGGGCGGCTCCGGCGTGACGGCACCGGGAGAGGGGAGTCACCTGGAGGGAGGGGAATGAGCCTCTGGTCCCAGCGCTGCTCCTGATCCCTTCGATTCCCTGCTTACTGAGCTCTTGGAAATGCTGTTATGTGCCCTCGCCGCTGTTGTGAGCACGCAGGGAGAGCCAGCTCCGAACTGTAATTCTTGCTGTACTCGTTTTGCGCTCTGCTTTCAGTGTGCTCAAAGGTTGTGGGCGTCATGAGATGCTTACGGGGCGGCATCGTGTTGTCGTGTGTGCACAAGGCTTTGCGTGGTTTTAGAATAACAAATGAGATTTTCTGATTTAGATTAAGGAGGGAAAAGTTGATCTTGCCCCTTTCCTTGTATATCCTTCTAGGACAGATCAAAACGCCTCTTCCACTAATAGTACTTTTTTTTTTTTTTGTGCCCTTTCGCAGAGTTCCTCAAGTCGTGGTTCTTCCTTTGCTTTCTCAGTATTTAAYTTAATGAATGCAATCATGGGCAGTGGGATACTTGGCTTATCCTATGCTATGGCCAACACAGGGATCTTGGGGTTTAGGTAAGTTTTCAGTTTTTGCATACACTCATTTTTTAAACTCGGCTTGCAGTTGTAAATAGAACAAAACTTGATTACTGAGACTCCTGTGCAAATCTGAGGAAGAAATAAGTAGGTTGTGCTTTTCAGAATTGTTGATTGAGATCTTCCCCTTTCTGATTTAGTCATTCAGTATGGCCTAACATAAATCCTGCTTAGATGTTGCATTAAATTGCCACATGGTGGCAATTTCTTGGCCATTATTCCTGATAGATTGATACTTGCCTTTCAAAACTGTTATCTCCTTTAGTTCCAGGACTGGGCTTTGTGGAATAGGATGGATACATGGTTGAAAACTGAATTAGTGCTTTTGTTTGCACTTTTGCTTATTGCAAGTGCTGACCTGTTGCTAATGGGGCCAAAGTCACTGGAATTGTCACTCTGACCATTTCCTAAGCACTGGTTTCACTTCACTGGAAGATGTATATTTGGGTATATGTGCACACAAATTGCCATGGTTATGTCCATTTTGTCATACATACACCAGGATTTACTTGGTATGGTATGGGATATTGGTGAAAAATGTACAGATCAGGGCAACTTGGCAAGTTTTGGGAAGAAGAGAGACCACGTGAACCATAGTCAGCAGAAACAAGCCATAAAATGAGGAAATCTTGTCTTGTGGTAGCTTAATTCTTGCAAAAGTAGCATTCTTAAGGCTGGAAAGTGCACTGTACTGTGAAAGTGCTTTAATTGTGAATATTTTGTGGTTTTCAGTATCTTGCTGCTGATTGTTGCCAGCCTTGCTTCTTACTCTGTGTTTCTTCTGCTCAGTATGTGCACTCAGACTGGTAAGTGAAAAGGATTTATCTAACAGTGAGCTCTGAAATATTTGCTCAGCTCTATCTATGAGCCAGTATAATGATTGCAGTTAACATCATGTTAACAGTTGTCTGATTCACAGATGTTGACTTACTTAATTTTTAACTATTAATATTTGCCATATAAAAATATGATTTATATGATTTTGAGTCAAAATGCAAAGCCAATGCCAAACTGTCCAGTTTCTGGGGTTTTTTTGATTTTTTTTTTTTTCAAAATGCCTCTCTTTCCAGAGAGATTCTGTATTTCTGTTGCAAAATTATTTTGGTGCTGGTTGAACCTCACTACTTCAGTGTGTGCCTTTGCTTTCAGTGAATGCTTAGGGCAATAAAATARCAATCTTTCATTCTCCTAGGAGTAGTATATATATGTTCTCCATGGTTTGAAATGGATACCTTCTAGATTTTTTAATCATACTGGATTATCATTATTCTCGTGGTACCTTACAGATGCATATTATAGAGCTTTTTTAATGCTGAAGGAGAAGTCATATTGCAGCCCTTGGAAACTGCTTTGATACAGTTCTAACAATACATTCTAATACCTGCAATTTAATCTGTCTGTGTTTTAATTCCTGCTTCTTTCAATTGTTATTGAAACAACTGAGTTGTTCCTTGACTTCACATACACAAAGATCATGTTACAGCAGGAAGTCTCCCTGCTTATTGTTTCCCTCTCATCTGTTTTCCTCTCTTTTCAAAGGTGGTGGGAGAAAGCTTCTGCCTCTTTCCTCCTTGGCTTTGTTTTCTTTAGCTGCCTTTGGTCTCTCAGATCATCGCTTCCTGATTCTTCTTAGATCTGCTGCTCCTGTCCCCACCTGTTGAGTGATCTTCATACATTCTTAAAAAACATCCCTCAGAGGTAGGGTTATTTTTATGGTTGATATTGTTAGCTGCTTGATGATTTGGGATTAAGTCTTTGGTAATTCTTTTCTCCTTTTTGAGCACTGCTTATTAGAAAGKAATCAGAACCTGAAACAAGTAGCTAGAGAGATATATGAGAAGCAAAAAAAGGGGATACTTGAGGTAAATTATAATGGCTTTTTTTACGTCTTACTTCAGGCTGAAAAGTTGGGTATTTTAAGGGTATTAAGCTGTTGTCTAGTAAAAAAAATCATTAAAGAAGTTCTTGCAAAAAAATGATGAGAGGGAAAACTAAGGATTAAAGTTTATTGAAGTAAGAAGGGTTTGCATGATACGAACTTAGAGACCTAAGATGCAAGAATGGTTTAACCACTCAATTCTTGTCCAAAGGCAGCAGTCCACTTCCAGAAAGCGTTTTTGAAATGCTGAAAGCAGGGAACAGCACTGAAGTGGCAGGATGAAATATTTCTCTTATCTGTAACTAATAATCCGTTATCACCTAATGCTGACAGGTAGGACTTGCACCACAGCTRTGTCTGGATAAGTTTGCTGGATTTATGACCTTCAGTGTTTTGATTTTTTTTTTTTAAATAAGATTGATTTGAGATCATATTTCCTATAATTCCTGTCAGCTATTGAAGTAATTAAATGTTAGCTAGCATTCCAAATTCTTCCTTGGCATACTGTCTTTAAAGTGGGAAATACGACCTGTTGTACCTTAGCAAAGTAAAAATCACTGTACATGTTTGACTCCAAAGTAGGTAATTAAACTTTTTCTTATATAAAATCTATATTAATTTGTAAATAGTGTTACAGTATTAAACTTAATCCATGGCAACAAATTGGAAGGAATTCTTAGTATTCTTATATTAAAAATKAGCTAGAAAAGCTTAAAGGGCAGTGAAGAGAAACTGTTGAAAGGATTTGTAAACTATTATTTAGGAAAGACCTGACTTACAAAATACCTTCTGAAAAGGAGGCACTAATACTAATTCCATTTTAAACARAGGCCAGGATTTATTAAGCACAGGCATTTTAGTTGCTGTTTAAAAATAAAGAAGTATCTTCAGTTACTCAGTGATGTTGGTCTAGACTTTGAAAAAATCAAGTGATTTGTGTAGACCAAAAGGTTTAGTTAAAAAAATATTCCCAAGTGTCAAGTGTTGGACTGGGATTAGTGTAGTCAGTGTTTTCTCCTAGTATTAATTCAGTATGACCTGTGTTGTTTTGGGCTGATAAAAACTAAGCTCTGTAAAGCAGAGGAATTGGCAGTTTAAGTGGGATCTACTTTGAAGTTTTGTGGCTGTTTTTTTCTTTTCATTTTAGGAGTTAGTCACAAATACTGCTGGTACTATACTTGGCAATTTCCCTTCACATTTAAAGGGATTTCCATGRACTGTTAATAACAGGATAAAAATTAAGCAAATCACACAGAAATTCTGTATATAAATTCGGTTTAATATTTTGCTCCATGTATTCTTGAAATTACTGAAGTAATGTGATCAAGTAATAGGGATTCCCAGTGTTCTCACAAGACTAAATGGATTACAGAAACAATTACTACAGAAAATACTCTAAGGTTTCATATTACTCTTTTGGAATTGTGTGGAGAATTTTGTTTTCTTTGCTGATAGCTTCTCATACATGTGTGCTGTACATTTGTTACCATGTAATARCAACTTGCTTTTAAACAAGTTTAACATTTTACTGATTTTTCTTTTCTTTCTCCTAATAGACCGTGCTATTAGAGATGGCCATCTAAAATACAATTTTCTCATAATCAACTGCTTTATAAATAGAAATTAAGAAAAATACAGGGTAAAATCTAGTAAGACATATTTTTTGTTTCATTATATCTGTTAGAGACAGTTCAGGTTTATGCTGAGAGCTGACTCTTGCTCATTTAATATTGTTATTTCATTTATATTGTCATAGTGTGTTGGTGTCGGTAGTAAAGCAGAATGTGAAATATTGCCCTTGAGAAAATTAATGAAGGTTTTTTGGGTTTGGGATTTGTCTCTTTTTTTGGTTTTAGTTTTGTTTTGTTTTTTTCCCCTCTGGAGCATTGGTCTGACTGTGTGCAGAACTTCAGTGAAATAAAACCACCTAAGCTTGGGCAAGTCTGAGGCTCCAGTCCTGTCATCTGATCTCTGTGAAGTGCCTGTGTCTCCCATGTCTTGTGTCATTTACTTCGGTGAATGGGACTTCACTCAGGTGTGAAAGGCAGCCCCAGCAGCTCAGCTTGCAAAGCTGGGCCCTAAATTAAGATGTGACAGAAGCAGGAGCAGTGTTGTTCCAGACAGAACCTAAGAAGAGAAATCAAGTGTTGTGACAATAACGTTATGTGGGTTTGGGATTAATTTTACTCTCTGAGGCATTCACAGCTGTTTTATTATATCCCAAGAAAGTGASTGGTATTTCTCAGAAAACTTCAATTTTTTGATACCGCATGAGTTAGTTTCTAATGACAAAACACAGAGTAACAATGAAAGGCTTTAATATGACTTCCTTCTCTCTGAGAAAGGATTGTTTTGAGTTACCAATGATAATAGAAGTGAGCTTCAGCTAAAACCCAGCAAAATTATGCAGGAAACCACAGGCTGTTTTAATGTAATTATATAAGTTGGGTGCAGGYAAGGGCAGGATTTTTGTTTTGCTTTGGCTTTTGTTTTGGGTTTTGTAATGATAGATTTCAACCAAAGAAGATGTTTACCTTCARCTCTCTTGAAAATAGATAGTACCTMGTTTTTAAAAGCTGGAAAGATGGTGTTGTTTATATTTGTAGAAAGGTGAAAATGTATCTTCCATTGTCAATTTTAGTAAAAACCTGCTGTTTTAAGAAATAACATGCACAAATATCGCTAATTGTTGATGCTAATTCCACAGTTCACCAACAGAGAAAATCTTTGGGAGAAGGCAATTTGCCATTAGTGTATTGCTATTATATTTTAAATATTGCTACTGTAAATACTGAATTGAGTCGCTGGAGAGTCTGAATGTTTGAGCATAAAGCTGTGTTTTGTAGCAGGAATAGAGGTGTATATAAAAGCTATTTTGTAAATAAAAAATACTATTAAATATTTATTTAATTCTGAATTATGTTCATTTAAAGGTGTAAAAAAGCACTAAAAGTAGAGTTTTCAAACTTTTCAAGTTAGAAATATTTTAGCTTTTTTTCCCCCTTACCAACAGCTGTCACTTCTTATGAAGACCTTGGCCTGTTTGCATTTGGATCAGCTGGAAAGGTGAGTATWCATTTTTACCTCTCTTATTCTTCTTGGTCTGATATGCAACCGTTCTTTGTATAGTAAAGAGACATAAATTAAATAAGTAGTATAATTACTGACATCCTAGTATGTTGAAAAAAATCTTTCAGCCTGAAACAGATCTGAAACTTTTCACTAGGTTTCAGTTTGTGTGTGGAAGCCCAAGTTTAGTTAAATGTCAAATGGATACTCCTTAAATGTAAGATKTTTTGCTGCTTTCCTGTCAGTGTGTTAATTTTTAGTTGTCCAGTCTGCTCACTGGCATTGTTGTCATGTTGACTTAGCACTCAGGGTCAGGTTTGATACCGTCCTACCTCTGCTGTAGAGTGCTGTTGTTTCAGCATTTAATATGGATCTAAGATAAGGGATGGCCTTTCCTGTTGTTTTCACAACTAAGGAACAACTAAGAGTGTATTTAATGGATATTACTTGTTTCCTTTTCGCTTAATAAGCTGTTCACATGAATGTTTCTTACTTGTTATCTCATGATTTTAAAAAAACCAAAAACAAAACAACAAAAAAACCCAAACAAACAAAACCTAAACTTTTGGTATGAGAGTAATAAAAATGTTAGTTACATTTTTTTTGTAGTGTGTACTGAATCTCTTTCTCCTAATAGACCATGTTTCCTAGTAACAGTGGTTGCACAGGAAATACTGCCTGTGAATRCTACACATTTAATGTTATGAATTCTGTGCTCTGTGTTCTGGTTACACCTAACTGAAAGCAGGTTTTACCTCACACAAGTGTGATTTTAATGTTTTACTGAAACGATGCAAATTTTTTWAAATTAGTTTGCCTCAACAGACTAGAGTCTGGTTTCTTATGTCTTAATGTCACTGAGAATGAAACCTGAGCTGTCAGAAATTTGTAAGACTGCCATTAGCATTRATAAGCAGATGAGTCTAGTCTGATGATCAATATTTATTGATCAAATTAAGAAGTGATCAACCTCGAGAGATAATAAGAGCAAGGTGTAAGATACAGGGTTTTTTTTACAGGAGCTGTTCTATACACGTTAACCATAAGCCATTTCTTGAAAAATTCATAGAAATTTAGAGCCTAAGGAAAAACTAAAGTGTGAGTTAACTCTGCCATTGCCCTTGTCATGGTTTTAGGGCTGAACATACATAAACCATTCTTGGCAGATGTTTGTCTAATCTGTTATTTAAAACCTTCAGTGAAGGAGATTTTGCAGCTTCACATTGTASTCAGCATGTTTTTGTTTGTTTTTTTAAAAATTCTTAATATACTTTTTCATAATTTTCAGTTTAAGTAATTTGTGCTGAAAATTATTTGGCCTTTTATTTTTAGTGTGCATGAAGAGCACTGGAGTTATTTCTAGGTTGGAGAGCTGTTCTTTAAATGAAATAATTAATCAAAGTTCACCAAGCTTTCCCAGCRAACTGGTGTTTTCTGAACAGTTATCTTTGTCTCTTGAAGCATCTTTGATATTTATACACTTTTCTTAAGACTTGTCTGCCAAACAAGCTTTACTGCTTCTGACTGTGTTATCTCACAGTTTTTTCTTTGCAATCCAGTAACTCTTAAGTCATGTATTTGAGATCTGCTTCCTAAATGCCTTGTTTTAACCAATCTTGTTGATTTTTAGGCTTTTCTGGTTCATCACAACCATTCAAAATTCTCATCTGTCCCTGAACACTTCTTACTTTAGTCATGCACAGATAACTTTTTTTTAAATTTTTTTTTTCTGAAGTAGTACTTCTCTCTCACACATAGGGGATGATACAGCCAGGCCAGGGTAGAACCTTGCTTSAACTGGCAGCTTGGTTTAACAGTAACTATTGGTTAACTACACTTGAAGAGTARTTACTCAGCCTTATRATGATTTCCTTTCAAATGTATTKTTCTGAGATTTGTCAGAATGGAAATTCTCTGTTGTTGGAAGACTGCTGATTCTTGCTTTCCAARGGTGTGAACTGTTTGTTTCCATCTATGGCAAATTCCAAGATACCATATTTTTTTTCTTCTTTCCTTTGATGAATTTTGAACTAACTTTTAATTAATGTAAGATCTGAAATGATTTTTTTTTTCCAAAAACCAAATTTGTACTTCTTCTCATTACTGTAGCTTATTTTTTTCCCAAGTTGACTTAATGGCATCATTCATTTAGRAATGTCCTACACCAAGAAGAGCAGTGGGTAAAAAGAAAACCTGTACTAGATGATCGTGGTATCTTAGAATTGAACTCAAAAGAAAACACTAGGAAAATTTTATAGTCACTTCCAGTTTTTTTCACTTGGAAGTTAATTTTTTTTTTATTCAGACAAGTATTTTARTAGCTTGTGATAATTTCTGCTTCTGTATCAGTCCAGTATGAATAATCACAAATACTAAAGAAAAGTCTATCTCTGGTTGACAAGTTTAAAAAAACAGACATTCCTGACAGTTAGAAATATTCAAAAGTAGGGAAGTACACTTGAGCTTGTACAAATCTCTGCTGTCTGTCTTTTCAGAAGTAAATGATCATTTTCATTTGTATTCACCTGATACCRGTTATAATGCACTTATGTTTTCAGTGATTTATAAAAACCTTATCTTCTGCAGAACAGGCTTTACTGTGTAACTACTCTTGCTTTGTCTCAGAATGAAAATGTGATATTTTCAGAGAGATTTTTTTGCTTCCATKTTCATTTTAGATGGTGCTGGTTTCCATGTGTTAAACTCTTCACTATGGAGAAGATGCTCTTCCTTTCAGGACTAGTTATCACTGCTACATCTGGTCTATTTAAGATAATACACATGTGGTTTATGCCTGCTATACACATATGGTTTTAGTTATCCTTACCCTTTCTAAAGAAATCAATTTTTTTATAGGTCCTTGTTGCAACTACAATAATTATCCAGAATATTGGAGGTAAGAGACTTCATATGCTCAATATTAACTGTGTGGAATATAACCTCTACAGGCTTCAAAGCTCCACAAACACCAAAGGCAATAATTAAAGTGTTGTTAAGAAACTGATTAAAAGGACAGAAAATTTAAGGGAAGGCTTTTGTGATCGTGCTGAGCAGAAGGGCTGTAGYTGTGGGATAGATGGGGGAATTCTGTTGCTGCATCCCAGGATGTGGAGCACATTCTTTAGAGCTACACTGCTAATTGGAAGGGGCTGAGGGAGCAGCATCTCCTCGCTGCTGTCCTGTACATTTGTATCTGGTAGCTGCATTTTATCAGGTCGTGTGTTTTGGGTTTTGCTGTTGGAACCTGTTTAGGCATTTTAGTGATTTAAGCAGCAAGTGAATGTTTACTTAGCCATGATGTTTCATATGTTCTGCATTAATGGGAGCTTACTTTTTGTTAGCTCAATAGCTTGTTTTTGGGGGAGTTGTTTATCTTCCTGACTTACATCATGTGAGCTGTCTGCTTACATTGTCCTTATTTTATCTTCCTTGGTGCATGGCATAATAAAATAATACTCCCTGTCTTTGTACTTGAACTCTTATTCAGGTATGCTCACATGCTTGAGAGTCACTAAGTATTTAGAAATTATCTGTCTGAAAGTAGACGGCACAATTTTAAGTCTAACAAAACAATTTTAATTTTTTTTGTTTGTTAATGTTTTGGATGCTTTCTTTGAAATGTGGGAATTATCTGAAAGCTCCGTCCTCTGTTCTCTACCACCAAGAAGATACTTGTGTTCATGTACATCAACAGAAGGAAACAGCATTCCAGTGCTGTTCTTGTTTCCTTTAGGATTACCTGTCAAATCCAGACAATTCAATGATTGCTGATCTTTGTCACTGTTTAGACACCTAGACTAGACAGGTAACTGTGCTTTCATGATAAACTTGGAATATTTTCTTRCACTAAAAGTTTCAATATAATAAAAGGTGCCCAACTGAAATGGCTATAAAAATCGAAGCATTAATTTTATGCAGGAGTGACCACAGCAATTCCRAGATTAAGGACTATTTATTCATACAGATTTTGGAGGATATTCTGTAGCAATGAACAAATCTTTTAATTTCCTTTCYCATTTGAGTGGACCTCTAAATAAACAGTACAAGAGAAGGAGGGATACACAGTGCAGGTTCTGGAGATTCTGGGATCATACACAAGACTCTGTGGTCAAAAGAAATATGACTCTCATTTCTTCCTCATCACAGTTTATAAGCTTCTCTGTGTCATTTTTAATAAAATTCAGCTCAGTAACTCTGGAGYCTCAAATCAGGGCGTGCTGGATGCTGCAGTCCGGGTCAGCCCTGTGTCAGGAACCAGCTCTGAAGGTGACTCTACTGCAGGTTGACAGACTCCTACAAAAAAATAAGAAGAGATGAAGAGTTCTCTTGACTACTCACACAGCCTTTACTCTTAAAAGAACTGCATGGAAAGAACAGAATTTTTCTTGTYTTTCTGCTCCTTCTGCATATTTTAAATGGGTGTGGTSTAACTGTGGAGTGTAGTTTGTCCCRAATGGGGTCCATGCTGGGATTAAGTGTAAAACCTGGGCTCTGCTGGTTTGTAGTGTTCTCCTCTTTTTGTTTTTCTGCCTGGCTGAAGGAACCAGCAACACAGTGCCTGTTGGGCAGATATCCAGACTCTGTCAACATCTTTGATTTCAGAGGAAGGCTAAAAATAAAAWTGTTTTCTGTTACCTCTTCCATCATCAGACCTGGGCATGTTGCATCATATGGTATCTTATTTCAGAAGTGATTAGAGAGCATGAGATAATGAAAGATGGCTTGTGATTAAGCAACWTTACCAGGGTTATTGTCACTATCTGCATCTAGTCTGGGCTTTTTTTAAAGTCTGCTCTGATCCCTTCTAAAAATAGTCTAAGTGCAGAAGTGATTTACATTAATTTGTGGTGGAGAGAAAACGTTTTAGTGATAATTTGAATAGTTATGCTTTCCAATTTGTCCTTTTTTTTAAAAAAGAAGGCTTAATGTGCAAATTCAAATTTGACATTCTAATTGCATWCACTTAGGGATTTGTGTAGATAGGGCAATTGACTTTTTAAATTACCAGGATACCCAAGGAAAAATATAAACATTTTTTGTACATCTGCAGGAAAGCACTGATTGGTCAAATTTGGAATTTAAAAAGGTTAGAAGAAGGAATTTTAACATGCATCTCTAACACGAGTGTTTAGYTTTTTCTGCAGATTTTTAGTTGACCCTTGAAAAACATTTAATTATTCCAAGTAACACAAATAAAAAACCAAAATCCCTTAAAGTATCAAGATTAACTAAGTTAGTTRGTAATAGGAGTAGGTAGTTAGTTAATAGGATAGTGAGTTAACTTTTCAATATCCAAATGGAAATTGAAGTAATTTTAATGTCATAACTCGAAAGACTTTGTAGAATATGTAGAGCTTAGAGTAACTAAACTTGGAGAACATTGGCTTTGCTTTCCTCGTAATCGGTATGTTCTTGTTCTTTCAATATAGGTATTTGTTTATGAGATCAGACCAAGGTTGAATGGGATGGCCAGTGCTACTAATTTTTATATTCCATTTCTCAGTTTGTTGACCCAATCCAGCACCTCTTTATTGTAAACCACCAGTGCTTAGTTTCATGTGATCTGCTTTGTTCTTGTAAGGGCTGGTTGGTGTGTGTGGGTGCAAAGTGCACATGAGAAAGGGAACTGTCAACTTGCACCTCCCAGGTGGTTAAAAGTTTGTTCATCCTCTCCTCCCAGCCCTTCCCTGTCACCCACATTTTTCTGTGGAGTGCTTTTCCCAATGCTTATTTCCCACCTCATTGGCAGAAGAGGATCTTGAAGGGCTCCAGATCACATCAGGCACCCTTGAAGAAGGGAGAGAGCCCTTGGGGAATTGTAGGCCTTGAGGCATGCAAGGAGAGAAGGAGGCTGCTATCAGAAATGCTGAGTTCCATGGCTATGCTGGCTTTTCATGCCATCCTTGCCAGGGAGCAACAGGGCTTGGATGGAGTCCCTGCTATTGTTTTAATCGTGTTGTGCTTCTAGGAAGTGATGGATGAGGCAGAGTGGGCCAAAGTCATGGCTTTGGGAATCCCACAGCCCTTCCCATTCTCTTCCAGGGAAGTTTTGTGAGCTTTCTAGGTGCTTTCTGAAGAAGGGAGAAGCAAGGAAAGTCATTTCTCTTTCTAGAATTGTTCTCTCTGTGGATGTGACTGAAAATGAGGACAATCCACAGCTGTGTGCCTGAGAGAAAAATCTTCAGGACTCCTAAAGCATGTGTAATAAAGTTAGAGAAGGGCTGATTTTTAGCAAGGCTGGTGGAAAAATGGAGACAAACACAATAAAGTATTGCACAAGAGCCGCTCTCAGCCCGTTGCCAACACTAACAAATCCCCAGCGCTGAGGTCTAGCAGGAAGCATGCGGAGTTATCCAGCGTGCTTCCCAGGGCTGGGGCTGCCATCAGCTGAAGGTCACTGCTGSCTGAGACAGGGCTGGGCCCAGAGGTCCTGGTGCCTGTGATGCACACAAACCTCAGTCCAAACTGCTGAGAGCAGGAGTTAAATTATTTAAAATTTTATTAGCTTAAGTGCTGCAGTAGAACTGGCAGAACCACCATGTAGCTTAAGGTGGTGTCTGTGCGATGAGCGATTGTAATGTTTTTKKTTTTTTTCAGTTTCTTCAGATAACCTGCCTTGGCTTGTACCCAGGTGGTCATTGCAGTCACTCTTTGGAACTAAACTTTCTAGACAGCCATCTTAATTTTACAAAGAATTGTTTGTTTTCTCATATAAATGCGGTTTAATTCAGTGTAATAACTATAACTGGTGCCTTTTGATTTTTTTCTTTCATGTTTTAGAGTTAAGGTGTCCCCATAGGTATGCGTTTTCCTTCTGTGTAAGAATCAGTAATGAGGAAAAAAGCTCGTTCCAWATCCCTGGAGTGCTGTTCTATCCGCGGCACTGCCTGAGGGCTCTAGGCAGTGACTGGAAGCTACAGGATTCGTTCCAGTGGGCGATGCTGTTCTGGAGCTGCATTTTAGGGTTTGTTAATACAGTCAGGGTTACAGACAGTGCACAGAGACTCTGCTGTGAGTGTAAGACACCCTAAAAATGTTTTTGCAATCGCGTGGTTCGTGTTTTTCAAGCTTCCCGAAGTCAGTGGAGAGGCATAGCCACTATGAAAAGCAGATACTTAAAAAAAGCAGCACCACCCTCTGCTGGCCTGGCCCGGCCCCGCACAGCCTGGGCCGCTTTCCCGGGAGAGCTGCCCGGCGCCTCGGGAGCCTCCAACCTTGTCCTGCTGTGTTCCACATCCCCTCCCCTTTGTTTTTCTGCGAGGTAAACAATGAAACATTTACCTCTCCTCCATGCAAATTCATATATGTGTGCTTTATGTGAGTGCCAGCTTAGAGGTGCAGACTTAAGAAAAAGACTCTTACCAATTAATTTGGCATGTTTTAATTGCAAATTATTTTCTTTTGTGTTTTTCTTTGTTTTTCTCTTACCACCCAAGTTTATCCATTCTGCAGTTTASTTCTAAACGTATTTGCAAGATTCGTTTCAACTTTAAATAAAGCAGATATTTTTTCAGACTTACAGGATTACTTCATGTAATCAGCAAGAACAGTGCTCCAGAAACTTTGAAAATGAATGAATGGTGCAAATCATGGAGGAATAAAATAAAATACAGCGTGTTACATGCTGAGACCTGCATCCTTAATACCTTAAGAAATTACTGAGCTTCCTTTAAGTATGGGAAATCTAATTCTGTTTTCAAACAAACTCRAATGTTTGTTTTCACAGCGCAGTTTACTTTTGACCTGAAAGCCTAATTATCCTGACTGATTCAAAGTGAGGATTTCCAGTGCAGAGCTGCTTTAATTAAGGGCAGGTTTGTCAGCTTCTGTACTGATTTAACAATTGATGACCCATGCTCCCATGTTTTCTTATTGCAGTGAATGGTTCTTGGAAGGTATGGTATTGTCAAGAATATGAAGCTTGCTTTAAGTAATAGTAAAAAAAMCCAAARCAACAATAATCCTAACCTGCAACTGTACTACAGAATGGAATATGTGATGAGCTATGTAGGAAACYTTTCTATTCTTTTATCATAAATGTACTCTTATAATGAAGTTTTACAAAAATAAATCTGCTGCCTCTGTGTTCCCTGTTGAATAAGAAGGACTTTTTGTTTTTTAAGCTTGCCATAGGTAAGTTTTAGAGTAATTCAGGTAAAAGCTAAAAGTAGAAGGAAAAGGGAAGTGAAGGAACAGAGAGGTTCATTAGGATGAGTGTCGATAATATGAAGACAAGAAAGAAGCTGACAACCTGTTTCAGTTCTTGGAATTTTTCCATATGAACAAGGATAAAATTTTCTGTCATGCACTCCATTCTACATTTGTATTCAAAACCAAATAAATTATCCCAACATTTTTTAAAGCTTCCACTAAAAGGAAATATTAAAAACACTACGCACCCTGTCATCACCTGTGGGAAGTTTTGAGGGGAACTTGTGTCCATCTTTGCACAGTGCTTAAAAATGCAAAACATCTTTATAGGACTCTATGATCACCTACAGTGGTAGATGAGGAAAAACTAACCAGAAGAGTTGGTTTGTCCTTTCTGTTAAATGATTTGAAGGGATTTGTCACCATAAATTATACATTTACATGTAAATTTATTGTACATTCTATGCCATCATTCCTGTGGACTTCAGCACTTGGTCTCTTTTTGGGTAGGATGATAAGAAAAATTTTCACTTTTTTTTATGCTAACCAGCCACCCACATTTTAGGACTGGGTTACCAGAAGAAATATTTTCGGGACTATTTTAAAAACATAACCTTTTCTCTATGAACTGTTTTTTCAGGTAGGGGCACATATGCTCCGTGTTAAACAATATTGTAGCACAGCAATTCCAACATTTGGAATAATGTATGCATGGTATGTATATTTATAGAGAGTCACAGCTCATGGTGGCACTGCAGACTGTACTAATGGAAATGAAAAGCAAGTACTCTGTTTTATATTTTAACAAACTTATTTCTTTTTGTTAGAGAGCTAATATCAAGTTTTCAGATCATTGGAAAGTGATAGGTATTTTAACAGCATAATTTCTTGCTGCTTTCAACACAGTGTAAGTCTACTGAATAATACACTTAATACCATTTTGATTCCTGCTGGATACTGATATGTCAAGGCCTGTTGAGAAGTTCAGAAATGCATAGGTCTCCATCAAGTAGCTCTTGGTGCATAGTGATAATTATCTAAAACTAACATAATGCATGCAAATTCAGGACCTGAAAATTAAGAAGTGATTCCATGAAGGTTGCTTATGTAGTTCTAGTTCAGCACTTGTGGCATCCCCATATTGTTGCAGCCTCAGCTGAGTAGGTGTCTCATGTCAGTATTTCCAAGTGGGATAAATCAGAGCACGAGGGTGTGCTCTTTGTTGTGTTCACTTGTGTCACAGTTCAGTCTCGTGGCCCTGTAATCTCTTCCTTCCGTTGCACATTAAGGCTGCCAAGGAGAGCTGACATTTAATTTGTACAACACAACCTGACGTGGTTTCGGTCGTGGTGAACGTCAGGGAAGTGAGGTACAAATTGTTATTTGGAGCAAAGGATACATGACTTTTTGTGTGTCACATTCTATGCTCTTGATTCCTCAAGTAGAAAAAGACTGTCATRTTGTTTTAGTTTTTCTTGTTTTAGTTTCATCTTTAAAAAAACAAACCATGTTCATTTGTCACTAGTAGTGAGTTGCAGGTTTGCACAGTGGTTAGTTAGTGTCTTCATTGCAAATAAAGCTGCAAGGAGTGGTTTCTCCTGAGGAGAATTAAAACTGTTTGCAAATGAGCTAAAAGAAGGATTTGGCTTTTTTTAACTGTATTAAATATGGGCATCCTGCTCAGATTCATGTACAAGATTCGGGTCTTGTTTAAGCATCRGGCTATAAATAAAATTGTTTATTATTCATTATTCATCTTGAAGAACAAATGAGAATATAACGGGGAAAAAAAATCCTACTATATGAGATTATTTCCCATATGCCCAGAGAGAGGGAAGAAGATGCATACAAATGTTCAGCATGCACAAGTTTCTTGGTGCARGGCTGGCTCCCTCCTTAGGAGTGGAATTCAGTGAAATAGGACTCCTCTCAAAAASAAAGAGTAAGCAACAAAGGATAAGTGATCAAGTGATTAGCCAGAGGCTAATAGGAATGCAAGGGCAGAGTGACAGATTGCATATTGGAGGAAATCTGATCTGGAAATTAATTTGAAGATTTCTGCAGTGGACACTGCAAAAGAACTAGTTTTGAAATCTTTCTGAAGGACATAAATACATGAAAATTCTGACCTTCTTTTCTATAAAGTATCATACAGGAGACTAGGCTCATGGATAAAAAAAGTTAAAYTGTCATTTAGATGAATTTTCCTTTCCCTCCTTCCCCACTTTGTTTTTTTAAAAGTTGAAGTAAAACATGCATCTGTCTGCAACTGAACACTTTTCAGGTTTTAGGGTTAATTTACTTACAGATTCTAGTCACTTAGAAATACACATGCTGTAATTTTCTCTGRTTGAACCTACATTCTCTTATTGGAGAGTAAATCAGAACAGCAGATAAATACTTCAGCACACATAATCGACAGCTACATATCACTAAATATACATGAATATTGGAAAAAAACAGAGCTTTTAATTATGAAGAAGTATTTCCTTGTTTAGTTACTTACCAAATGGTTTTAATTTAACCTTGCAGTAGGTCGATGTTACTTTGTATTAATAGAATTAATACTATTTCTTTATGGACACAACATTAGCTTCCTCAAAATTTAACATTAACTGCTATAGTACACCAGTGTCTGAGTCCACATATCTTTTAAGATTCAGAGTATTCCTTAAATAAAAGAGCCAACACAAATGTATTCAAACATCAGCTTATGAAAGTTTGCTGTTTTACTGTTTCAAAGTGTATGTTTCAATTTTAAAACATGACTAAATACACTGTGGTAAAATTCTAAAGAATTACTAAATAAAGAACAGTAAAATTTGAATACTACAGATGAGTTTTTGTTAGGGCTTGAATGTAACTAAGGTTTTTTTGACATATTACTAAAATTACTTGCTGCTGCAGAATGGAAATTCGTTTCATGTAGGCTTTGATGCTCGTTGAAGCWGTTTGTAAAGCTTAATTTTCCTGAGGAATTCTCTGCTGGTTACATAAAAACATGACATGAATGGTATATGAAGGTATCAGATGAGTACAAATTCGGATTTAAAAACCCTCTTATTCAAGCCTTTGATCATTTTATTTAGTAAAGGAGTAAAGTGACGCTGTGAAGGAGCTTTTGGATTTCTATGTGTGCATCGTTTTCTGCTGAGTAGAATTAAAGCACTTAATTTCAAGTTAACACTCCTACAAGAGTAGCTAGTAATTTCTGTTTCACAGTTCCTGTACTTGATGTTATTGTTGGGACCTTCTTGGTGATGGATTTATCATGAGAAGCAGGGATCTGTCACTGATAATCCTCTTAGCTCTGGGTATCAAACCTTGCAGCACATGAAAAGCCCTTTCAAGCCCTATTCTTGTGTTTAAAATTCTGTCTTAGGTTTGTTTAGTGCAACAGCAGTTGAACAACTATAAAAACTGAGTCTTTAAAAAACCCTGTTGTATTGATAGAAAGAAATATTGTKTACTGTCTTCATGCATAATGTCTCATAAAGAGGAAGAAGGCTGCAGCCTTGTAGTCTGTTTCTAGCCTGTAGGTCTGTATTCCCAGGTAGRTCAGGCCTATATAATATATTGTTTTGCATTTTAGTCCTTTGGATTATGTTTTCCTAGTTTCAAGACTCACATTGTAACAGTCTCTTTGGAGGCATTAGCTGACATCACTGCAATACTTGAAGCTATTTTTAAAGAAAGTATATGAGAAAATAAATTCTGGTTCTGGTGCCACGGTGTCTCACACAGAGCTGAGATGTTCCAGGCATAACCACGCCGGTCCAGCCGTGCTGGCTGAGATGCTGCTGTTCCTCTGCTAAATCTGTCCTGCTTCTGTTTGCAGCCATGTCATCCTATCTSTTAATTGTGAAGTCTGAACTTCCTGGGGCTGTTGAGGGGCTTTTGACTGGAGCCGAGAGCGGGTAAGGAAAAATGCTTTGTGCATTCTGTATTTTTCTTGAAGAAAAGAGGGCTTCARGCATGCTGAAGGACATGGGTACTGACATTCCTCTGATCTCACATGTGAAAATAGTCATTTACATGAGTTGTTGGAATATGAAATGTATTTGGCAAGTGCAAGTCTTTTGCAGCACACACGCAGAGCGTGATTCTTTCCTCATGGCGATTTCCCATCCGACGACCTGAAAGTCAGTGGCAGAACTCCATCTACAGGAATCTGCCTTCTGTAGAATTTCAAAAGGGGAAGCAGGAAGATACTGGAGGGAGAGGAGAAGAAACATTTCCACTGCTGTCATGTTATCACTTCACATATTTTAAAATCACAGTACAAAACACGGCAGACATTTATATTGAAATATTTTGTTGTCTTGCTGTAGTAATTGGRCTTGTCTTGGGAAAAATGCCAGGTTTCCAGACTTGGCTTGAAATTCCTAAACTTGGCTCCCAGTAAAGAAWTTATTTTTCACAGTTGAGCTGTAAAAGTGTTGGTAAGGAGTGTGTCACTCACATTTCCATCAGAACTGTTGCAAGAAATCTGTGCCTGTGCTAAGGCAAACACTGCAGCTTCAGCACTGAAATATCTTATTTGAGTTCTTCCAGTGCTGCTGTCATTCACAACAGTGTATCTTGGATTGTGTTAGGGCTGTTTTTCCAAACTGCTATTTTCAGATGTTTTGAGCTCAAAACTTTCTCTGGACTGAAATGTGGTGAAATGGTCTCAAGACTGTGTGATGATTGTATTATTCCTGAATGTTGTGGGTGAATTTTAAATGTGAAATCAGTTTGTTAAAATACTTCAGTTCATTTTCTATTTTGTCACTTACAACTTTTGGATTTTATAATGAATTTGAGAAATAAGTTGTGGTTGTAATCTTGCTTTCTGTCTTTCTTCCCTCTTAGCCCTTACGGTTTTAGTAAGGTTTTTTGTCAGTTTTCTTTTTTTTTTTTTTCCTAAACTCTTACATTTTGTACATATATATGTGTATATATATATATATATATATATGTGTGTGTGTTATTTTTAGTCTGCTAATGTATCTCCTCCAGCTGTGGTAGTCATCAGCTTTTCATTTGAGTGCTGTAACCTTCTCCTTCAAGCTCATGCTTCAGCCTCACTCTCCATTCACAATTTTGTTGATCTGCTGCTGTATCTGCTGCGTGTGTGTTCAGTCTGTCCAGCCCCAAATTTAGCATCTAACATCTCTTACTACTGGTTTTAATTCTATGTCAGCTTTGTCTTATGCTAAGTGATTTTTCTTTCAGCAAAGATACACTTTGAAAACAAAGGGCTTAAGAAAACTCCTTGTATGTAGAACCTGGAGGTCCCACATGCTGCTCAAGAGGTTGTTCTGTCTGAAAAAGTCACTGTGAAAAGCTTCCTCATTAAAGTGCCTGTGGGATAATGCTCCCAACAGCTTTGTCCAGGTGCTACCTCACACCTCCTGGATGTGAACACACAGGCACGTTACAGTTGAACTTTTTATTACAAATCAGCTGATCTGTTGTAATCGTCAGTGAGCTGTCAGCTCTGCCACCACCCACGCTTTTTCTTAGCTGCAAGTACAGTTTGAGATGGGAATGAAGTTCAGCTTTGCATTTAGAAAGAGCTGAGGTTGTCCGTAGGAATCCTAACCACAGCTCCAGTGGTAAGATGATTGGCAGGCTGGTCTCATCCAGTTTCTGCCTCTGTTATTTGGAGTTCTTGCATCAATCAGTGTTTATTTAACACARTTTCCCTGCTCTAGTATTTGTCCAAGCAAATTGCTCAAGTACATTGATCAAGCARTATTCCAGGAACAGGCACACATGCATGTCCCCATCTAGGTTTAATTTCTTTTGCCATGTTRATGGCTGTGGTAGATCATCATCATTTGTTTCTGTGTATTTTTTGCAGATGTTAAATGTACATTTTTACTAACAGACATTTTAAATTGTAGGAAATTGTTCAAGAAAAATAGGTAATCAAATACCAAGCGTAAGCAGCAACTTATTTATGCATAGGGCACAAATACTGAATAGTTCAATTCAGCTTCTTTACCTGGACCTGAACTTGTTTCCAGATGTGGTTGCACAACTGTTCTGTTTTTGTTGAGTTATTATGGAATCTGATACGCTTTCATTTGGTAGAGAATTTATCTTAACTGTAGTTAGGATGTATCAAAAGTGTCAGTTAAACTATCTGYGAAAGTATTTTATATGCATAAACCCTCCCGAGCTCTACATTTGGGAAACCCATTGAAAGAATGTTTTGTGCATTAAATTATTTTTATAGATAAAGGTTAGCAGGTGTGTGTGTGTTTGAAAGGCTCTGAGCTGGTCTAACACATCCTCATGTCTTTTTTAAAAACAAACCCATGCAATATGAACACTTTTTAATATTGAGTGGAGATGTTTCTGTCTGCATAACAAGAATTCCACACCGTTTTGATGACATGAACATAGTTTCAAATGAGGATTGCGTTAAAAAGTTGTAATTTGTGAGCCCTCTGTTAACATTTAATGACCCTGTCAGAGGATGTGATTGATGCAATTAAGTTGTCTTGCTTGTGTGTTGYATAATTGATATGGACTGAGAGTAAGATCCTAATTTAGAACATGTGAATATCTTGTTCTGTTGAATTCAGGAATGAAATTAAAGCGATTTATAAATGTCTGCTTTTAGTTAAAATATGGGGGAGGGAGGAGAAACATCTGCATGCCAAAGCTTTTCCAGCAGAATCAAAGATTTATATTCTGTATTTCATATTTTGAATGCTTTTATCATGTAGGACTAAATTTACAGATCAGATTGATTTTAAAGGCACTATCAAAACATTTATTTTGCCTTTGGAAAATAAGTGTATTTTTACAGCAGTAGTTTAGGCAGAAAATGGACACATYTTTGATAACCTGTAAATAGTCTTCTTTGCAGTTTTTTTGAGGTCTTTTTAAGAAGAAGAATTGGTATTCCACAATTAAGCAGTGTACAAAATTACTTTTTCTCCTTTTCCACACCACTGTTTTCTTCTCTGTTTCTCCCCACCTACAAATGTTTCTTCATTTCCATAAAGTAATCAAAATAATTTTCTGTATGTTCTGCTGAGCTTATGAACCTCACTGGCAGCTGTGGGTTTGCTGCATGTTTAGAATCATGAGACTTAAACAAAGGTCCCACATTTACACACAGTGCATTATCCTTATGCCTTCTGCCATGATGCTGTTCCTCATAATCTGAACAGCCACCAGACTGGAAAGCAAGAAAAAACTTAAAAAATATATGAATGTTAAATGGTAACAACATGAAGAATAAATGCTGCAGCAAGAAGCTTATCTTGGCCACATTGCTTCTTTGCTGTAGCAGTAGCACACCTAGGCTTATACACTTTCTGAAGAATTATGTATTTTCACTTGTTTTTAATAAAGATGTTGTCACCTAATGGTTACTTTGTGTTTGATACAGTGAAGATGCCCTCAACCTTGAAATTTCTCTGTTCACTTACATGACATCTTTTTCTCAAACAATACCAGTGGTTGTCTATGATGTATAGAGTAGTGAATATACCTGTTTGGTTATTCTTCTTTAATGCAGGTGTTACGGTMCTTTCCTTATGATAACTTGAGGTGCTGCCTGTTTATTAGGTGCTAACCATATCCTGGACTAAATAAACTGGAAGGTCAAAAGTCAAGGTGTTTATAGGTGGTAAAGTCGGAGGCTGATGTGCAAGATGTTTATCAGTACAGGATATGGTTATTGCCAAGTCGGGGCAGCCACCCTCAAGATGTTTCTGTTACTTAACARCTTATCCATGTGTGCTTTCCTCAGTTCAGCAACGGGAATTTGGTACTTCAAACAGATTTTAAATGTGTGAGGACTTAATGTGCCTCTACAATGCTTTTTTAATATRTGTGGTTTTATGTATAAACATTCTACCAGATTTCATCAGCATAATTTCCATGCCTTCTGTCCTTCACTTCTTTCATGGTTATATGCAAAGAAGGGAAGCTCAGCAGTGAGTGGGAATTGATGTTGCTGTTTCTTCAGGTGTGTAAATACACAGCTCATTGTAATCCAGTTTTAGATACACATCATGTCCTATATGAGTACTTCTGCTGGAAATCTGTAGGGTATGAAATACCCTTCCCTCTGATCATTACTATGAATCAACTCTTTTCTTGTCCTAGTGATTGTTTTGTCTAAGATCACAGCTCTAAGTTAATCATATTTATAGCATTCCTGAGCTTTGTATCAATCCTAAGTAGATTTTCTAACAGGTCGTGGTACCTCGATGGGCGAGTGCTGCTGCTGCTTACTTCAGTCTGCATTGTTTTTCCTCTTGCCCTTCTTCCTAAAATTGGTGAGTAATTAAAGGAGAGCAGCGAATATTATTCTACTTTAGTAGCAATTACAGTTGAAGACTTTAAAACCTTAATGGGTTATTTATTTATTTTAACTGGCGGGGGGCTGCTGGTGTGGTGATTACTTAAGTTGTTGTAGTGTGTTCTGCCTTCCAGCCCTGCCTAGTTAACCTATTACTTGGGTTGCAGTAGTATTTTGTCTGCAATACTAAAATAAAATCTTTACAGCAGAACATTAAAGAGCTGCATTTACTTACAGCATGCCATTAGTGGTAAGCCAGTTCTAATTCTGCCCTACAAAACTACATAAATGATCTGTGACAGGCAGTTGGAATGTTGTTATTCTGAGTCCTAAGCCCCAGATACCAAGCACTGTAATAGAAAACATGCCTAAAATGTAAAGCTTTAGCTGTACATTAGGATCACTTTCCTTATAAATTCTCTTTTATTTTTACTGTTATTTTACAGGCTTTCTTGGCTACACAAGTAGTTTATCATTTTTCTTTACGGTGTACTTTACTCTTGTGGTAAGTTAAAAATCTCTGCACAGCTTTTTTTTTTTTTTTTCCTTATTGTTTGAATGTTTTCATAAGCCTGTTTTGAAATTAATTGTCTTTCCCTCCCCCCTTAAATTTTTACATGAAATTTAGAGTTTTTCTGAAGTTCAGTATTTGCTTGCTTGGACAAAGTACATTTGAGACTTGGAAATGTGTATGAACTTCCAAGCCTGTGAAAAGATTTAAAATAATTGTATTTTGAGCTGGTAAATATAACAATTTTTTTTTTTTGCTGATGGTGCAGGAAGGGGAGCTGGCACATGTATTTTTGTTTCCCTACTAGCAGAGGAATGGAATTCTGTTTTCTTAACTTCTATTACTTACTGCAACTAGTGCAGAAGAAAATTTAATATACTCCAAATAAATTAAATTTACATGTATAATGGAGTGACAGAGTTCAGAAAAAGGCAAAGAAAACTAGAACTTCATTAAGGCAGTTTATGAGATTCATTAATACGTCAATGACCTTATTCTCCTTTCCAGCTAAAAGGAAAAGTTCTTTTCTCTGAGCCATATGGGGGTTTTTGACCCTGATGTTCACCCTCTCAAGGCCCCTGTGAGGTAGATGTTTCCAAATATCAAAAGTGAGACCTGCTAGGCAGATCTAAAGGGAAAATGTGCCTTGAAATTGCACTTTTTTTCCTTCTACAGGGAAAAAGTATGTTAATGCACATGTGTAATATGTGGTACAACTGAGCAACTCTCACTCTGTCATCTATTTGAATGCTATTTGGGAGCCTGGCAAAAATGTTCCCCCTCTGCCATGTCATTCTGGCTTGCATTGACTTGCATTTAATACCTGTTTTACAAAGGGATAAACAGAGTTGAAGGCAAGTTGAACAAACATGCCATCCAGGAGACCAAGGCAATCCATTAGGAACTAAACCATGTGATAAAACCAAACTTCAAAGCTGTCAAAACATCTCCCTAGGGTATCCCTGGAGAGTTGCAGTGTTTGTAGGACCTTGGGAAGTTTTCTTCTTAAGCTGAACATTGAGAAGCAGCCACAGCCTCTCCAGAGTTAATGGAAATTCATTTGTAATATTTATAAATTACCTTAACTTTTGACCCCGCCTAAAATTTATCTTTAAAAGAAAAAAAAAAAAAACTGGGGAAAAAAAAAGGTAAGAAAAAGCACTAACTATAATGCTGACACAGGCCTTTGGCTGAAGCAAGTTGCAAGGATTTTAAAACCAGTTCAGCTCCTGGATTTCAAATGGAATGTGTATGGATCTCTGAGGAAAGCTGTTGTAATGGGTGGATGCATTTGAAAACAGCTTTAGTCCCTGAAAAAGCAAATGTGTAAGCAAGACTTGTGTGCAGCCATGCCAAGCTGGGATGATTTAAATTAGATTTTGGTTTTGATTCCCTATCAAAAAAGTGGGTAGAAAGTGCTAATGAACTAGTGCAGACTGCTGGATTTTTTATGAAATAGTTAAATTTGTGTGCTTACTCTTTCTTGTTAAATGGCAAAGCAGCAGCCACAGTAAATCTAACTGAGGTCAAAATTTTTAAAAGCCATTACAGATATTTCCAGAAAACCARTACTCTTGACAGAATATTCTCTCGGACTTGTTCAGGCCCTGAAAGTCAAAGGCATTAAATGTGGTTTAGTTTCATATCTAATTGCTTTGAAGTGGGTGATATGTGCTGTTGAAATGGTGTTTTAGTTTGCACACTGTTAATTTCTGTGTGGCAGATATGTTTTAATTTGTTCCAGAAGAGAACTGTGTTAGTCATATGGAAGTGATATAATTATATTTTGCATATACAGTAATTCTGTGCCTTTTCAAGTGCACAACATCTGTTCAGMTTTTTGCCAGCAAGCCACAATTTTACTGCAGCCTGCAGAAAGAGACTTGGTCAGTCTGGTCAGGGAGTGCTCTGAGCAAAGGGCTGGAGAATTCTTTATTCTGCTTGGGGTTCTGCTCTGGGGTTCTGCTCTGGGGCCTGGGCAGGTCACAAATGTCCTCTCTGTGTCTCAGTATCTCTTTTTGTGAAGCCAATACACTGGTTCTGGTCTTCACTTGCAAAAATAATGCAAACACTGAGAYGACCTGATCTAGGGGAAAAACAAGTCTGTATAACCATTAATTCAAAGCCAGATTCTGTGAGGTCCTGAGCACTTTTGTTTCTGATTGTTGAATACTTCCCTGACTTGAATCCTCAGGGAAAAGAAATTGTGATTGTTAAACTTTTTTTTGTTATTTTCACCCCTCTTGTTATATTGAATATTGGTGAAGCGTAAAGACAGATTTTAATTTTTTTGTGTGTGTGTGGAGACAGCATTGTTGGTAGCTTGTTCAACAAAGGTGTTAATGTTTGCTGATGGTGTTTTTCTAAATCTCTTGTTTATGTTCTCAGACCAAAACATGTTGTAGATTGGGAACCTGCCATATGTAATGAAAGCCCCTTAGCTGTCAGTACTGCTGGAATAAAGGGATTCCTGTTTTCCCTCTGCAGGATACAAAAAATCACTGAGAATATCAGAACATTTTGAGCATCTAACTTTAGCAGTGTTTTTGGTGTAGGTTTAAAATACTCTTTTTCCACTAGAATCTCTTTAAGTTTTTTTCACTTTAAACCAAATGTTTGTTATACTCAAAAGAATGTTTATATGAAATAGGCTTAAAGTTCCAGAGGAAAGCTGTGGTGCCTGCTTGACTGCTCAGCTAACTGGGCTGTGCTGCCAGCTTAAAAATCCTTTCCTGTTGGGGAACCTCATTAGACTACAATTGGAAACCTAAACACATTTGAGTAATTAAGCAGGTGGGCAAATGTAAACACAGATTTTTAAATTCACCTACTGCATTTTATTTTGTCTTCTTTTATTCCCAGTTCAGTCTGTTCTTAACCTGTATTGCATTTATTTTCAAAAAATGTTCTCCAGCCTTTTAGATTTGGCTTGTCTGATCCTCCCTCTGCAATGTTTATATATATCTTTGCTCTTTAGSTTCCAGGAAACCTTCCCCTCACCACTGCCAGGCACATTTTACTTTCCCCAAACCTTGCCCTTCAGCTCCATGCCCCTTTTCACTGCTCAGGAAGCCTGTTCCAGCTTTAGGCTGGAGTGGGGGAGTTCCCACAAAGCTACTTTGGAGCCTTCAAAGCCTTCCCTGTCTGGGTGCCTTTAAATACAACACAGGCCCAAATTATATTTTAGTGTTTGGTGTTTGCAGGCTGCTGTTGAGCAGGCTACCACCTCATTCCATACCTTTAGTTGTTCTACTTGTGCAGTCTAAAATGTGTTACTGCCACAATGTACTCAGCCTGCCATGTACCCACAGTTTGCTTTCCCCACATTTTGGCCAGAGGTAACTTTTGTTTGCYTCTCCTGGCACTGGTGACAAGAGAGAGCATCTAATCCTCTGGGAAATACCACTTGGCAGCAAGCAAAACACAATTCTCTGAGCCAGGAGAAGAGTTCCTTTCCATGTTATTCTTCTTGTGAATCTGAGTCTTTAATTAAGTTTTTAATTATTTGCTCCAGGCTTCAAAAGAATTATAACCTCTAAAGCCAGGCAACTACAATAGGAAATTAATTAGGGTGAGGAGAGCAATGCAACTATCATTTTAAACTGGGCTCCTGAAAAAGGAGGTAACATTTCTTATTTTAATTTCCCTTTGATTTTCAGCCCTGTTACTTGGCAGTCCCTAAACCAGCAGGGTGTAGCTGAAGGCCCAATGACATTCTGGGACAATAATTGCATTTATTGTTTTTCCTTTGCTTTCTAGTCCAAMCCATATGTTCCTGCCTTTTAAGATTAGCCCTAGGCTCTGCTCTATCTCTGTTAAGGGCTTGTGTGCTCCGGGCGYGAGCCTGGGATCGCTAAGGCAGCAGCAATTCYGGACGGGAGGCCCTTGCTGTGGAGYCCAGGGAGAGTGACTGGGGAGTGCTGGTTGTATTTCAGCTCCTGTCAGAGCCCATTGCAGTGCCCCACCTCCAGATCCCTGCKCCATAAGGCTGCCAGCTGTGCACAGTGAGCAGCTGGGTGCAATGGCACTGGCAAGCTTTTCTGTCAAAGGCTCCTTCTGGTGGCCTGTCTGCCAGGCAGGCCTGGTAATTTACTGGGGGTGTAGCTCCCTGCTGTGTGTTCCAACAGGCTGATACTTTAACTCTGTGTATCTAAATTGAAAACTGATTTTTAGGATATCATTTATACATGAAATACGGTGTCTTTGCAGGTTATGATTAAAAAATGGTCGATCCCTTGTCCTCTACCTCTGAGTAGTGCCATGGAGACTTTACAGGTAAAGTGCATGCTGGTTTGAAGTTCTAATTTTACTAGTAAACTGTAATGCTTTTTTTACATTAACACTTTCAGAATGGCTTGCAATTTAAATTCCTTCTTTTATTAATYGTCACAGAAACTGAAAAGTTTCATGTCTGTGGTTTGGGCTTATTCTTTCATTATGCCCTTTTTTTTGCATTTATGTTTTACAGGTTTCAAATTCTACTGGGGATTGTAAAGCAAAGCTCTTTCATCTTTCAAAAGAGGTAATCTCTATTAACAGTACACAAACTTAAAGGGGGGTAGTGGTTTTTAAAAAATTGGGGTTTAAACCTTACACAGGGTAAGCTGTCCTTGTATAAAACTCATGGGCTGCTGAAGTGTTTTCTATACCTACTGCCAAATAGTATCCAGTCTCACWTTTTTTTTAATATAATGGCTGACTGTCCAAGCTAGAATTTATGAAAATATTTTGAAAATACGGCCAGAGAAGAAAGTATAACAGATGAAACAGTGGTCAGCCTCATCATGCAGTCAGATCAGGCCAATTTAATATGCCCTCAGCTGGAATCTGGTGCTGCTTGGCTGTGTGTTCTTAGCTGCAGGCAGGGTAGAACAGGTTTCCTGACATTGCCTAGACCTAACCTTAGGTTTTTCCTTACCTGAAGCTAATTCTTTATGCCTGATGCAATCTTGTGCATCTTGCGGGGTGCCAGCTCTGGTATTTGTTAATTAATGTGGCATTTAAGTCATGTCACCACCCATCAGGGCTTGCAGGAGAGGAAGTATCGTATAGAACCCTGGTCTCTGTGGGGTGAAGAGGAAGGGAAAAAGGTAAGGCTAATTCTGGGATAGCCCTGTGGGATTTAGGAGAGATGGCTGAATTTCTCTGAAAAAACAAAGTCCACCCCAATCCTCCAGGAAAAAGGGAAGGAAAAAAACAATCAAACCTTGGGCAAYGCAAACATCAGACAAATGTCATCTRTAGATAAAAGAAGATGTGGTGCTTTGACCAGAAATATCTACCATAAGATCCTGGCCTTCTGTGCTTTGAAGAATCTTGTGACTCACCTCTACTTCTTTTTTACAAGTAGTTTTATCAGTAGAAAGTGGCATATCTTTACCAGTACAGGCCTGATTGTTTCAGCACAAAAGTGTTTATTATAGTTCAGCTTATTTCATTTGACAACTGCAGTAAGCTGTACTAGATGATTCATCTCTTTTATTACAAGTTTTTGGAATAATACACAATTAATCTTGTGGTTGCATCTTTAATTACATAACTGTCTTAAAACTTTAGATGCCAAAGAATGTTATATTTCCTGTTAATATTTTTGGTCATATTTTTTGTTGTATCCAAATTTTTCTGAAGGAGCAGTAAGAAAACAGTGAGGTCAAGGTGAAGGAATCAGTAATTTGACAGGTAGCCATGGATATTAGAAATTGGAAAACTTCTTAGAGAATTTCACAGATGAAACACTGGCTCTGGGACACATCCTACTCTTTCTACATAAGTAYTTGGCCTCAGTATAGAGAAAAAAGGATCGTTCAGTTTTTGGATTATAGGCAGCATGACTTCTGATGATGAAACTGAGCTATGACCACTTGAACTTACATGACTTGAAAAGGCTGAATTTTTGTGGACTGATTGATTTAGAGACACTGTTTCTGTGTTGGTGAGATTTATATCAAAGCATTAATCTGGAARTAGTTCCACTGACTTCCAACACTTGAACTGAATTCTGGATTCATCCAGATATTTTTCCAACCAGCAGTAATAGCAAACAACTTACAAGATGTTTTCTTTTTATTTTAGAGCGCTTATGCAATACCAACTATGGCCTTCTCTTTTCTGTGCCATACCTCAGTCCTGCCAATCTATTGTGAGCTCCAAAGGTAATGTATGAGAACACATGTAATATTAAAATAYAATTATAACCTTTTTTGTAATATTTTCCCTAAATTAATCCCAACTTACTTTTATTTTTAAGTCAGTGCCATCAAACTAAGGAGCTTTCATGGTTTTGGGAAATGTACAGTTTTAGTCTRTACTGGATTTTCTTTCTTACAGGGAAGAAAAGTAGCAAATATGGTTCCATTGTTAATGTCAGTATATTGTCCTGCCCGGGACAATCAGTAGAATAAAAGGTCCTTTGCTGAGGTACTTTAATAGTTAATTTGTATGGCTATAAYTGAATCTGCATTTGGCCATATCTGATCAGTAAGGATTTTTGACWGAGATTCTGTTCCTGGCTCTGAATAGATACCTTTCTGTGTAAATCCTAATTTTCATTTAAAAGAGACACTGAGATGTCTAAATTCCCTACAAGATGGGGCCAACATTAGTTGCCTGCTTGAGAAGTGCCCTTTTAATTACCAGATTAAAATTACTTTTAAATCCACTAAATATTAATGACAACAGAGACCTCAGCAAATACTCAGTGCACTAATATTAGGTGAATACTTCCTTATGAAAAGCAAGGTGCTGTGTGGATTGTGCTGTGTTTAATCTCCTCAGTACAGATAAAGCAAATAATTTCCTTTTTTTTTCCATTTTAGTCCGTCCAAAAGGAGAATGCAGATGGTAACTGTCACAGGAATTGGTCTGAGYTTCCTAATTTACTTTATGTCTGCTCTCTTTGGGTATCTGACATTTTATGGTAAGTGTATTCTTCAAGTATTCCTTAGACCAAAGGTTAATGATAAATGATAAATGTCTTCTGCCTGGAATGCTTTAGGAATTGATACACTTGAACCCTCAGATTTTAAAAATTCAATAGGATAAGCTTTGAGCTGAGTTTTCTATCACATGCTTCTGGTCTTGCCTGAGCCAGAAATGTGTCTGTTTGATACATGAACTGAACCAAGCAGTGCACATTKCTTAGAAATGTTGTTGACATAGTGCTTGATGAAGTAAATGTACCTTTTTATTACCAATCAGAAGAGTGGGTGGGGTGTCACACTTGCCCTACCAAATTCTACAGGCATCTTTCATTTGCTGTAGAGGTTAGSTGACAGTCTGCTTCAGTACTAATTTTATTACTCTGCATTTGGACTTCAAATACTTCTAGATACAGTTTTTTTAGTAGAGTGTAAACACAGATGACTTTTTCTGCCTGGCACTCTTGTACTTCTCACATGCACAGAAAGATTTCAGACCCCTTATCTACATAGTGGCCTTTTTTTAAAGATCCATCACAACCATGGCAGAAGTAGGTGASTGTCTGTTTCATACAGCAGTGATAACAGTAGAGCAATTGAATTGCTCTACTTGCTGGTTATGAAGTGGTTTAATACCAGTGCTGTCACATAAATGCATCACAGTCATCTGTGAGGATCCTTTTAAAGTCTTCTGAAAATTCATTTTATGAGGTGATCAAATGCTAATCTTTATTGATTGTAATGAATAAAAGTTCTTACRGGAGACTAAGGCAGTAAGAGGAAAGTTCTGATTAGGGTTTCCACTCTGTTCAGAGCATTTTATAATTCTCGATCATGGGGATAAGATTGTGTCTGACAAAGCACCAAGAATATTGGCTTTCATCATCTAATAATTCCAGATTTTTAGGGAATTGTGTATCTTTTATCTCCAAGTGTAAGCATATGTCTGAAAATATTCCCTAGATACTCAGAAACCTTAGAAAAAATTATATGAGGAGTCATGAAGGCCCTAATAGCATTTTGGCCACTATTCCTGACTGTCTCCATGAGGTTTGTTGGAAAATATAAATTTAAGTGCAACTCTGAGAAGTTCTGCGGGCAGTACAAGGTAACCATCTGTCTCCAGATGAAATCTCAATAATAAGGAAAAAAAAAAAAAAAACCAAAAAAACAAGGAAAAAGAAAGAATGGTCCTGGAAACCATCCCAGTTCCTGTTACCTTTACTGCARTGATTTCTTTGGGACAAGACCCTGTCTTGATGGTAGCCTTTTAGTCTGTTTCACTGGGAATGCTTTTGGTTTTCTGCAGGCTTGATTTCTTTTAGCAACTCTARGACTCACGAGCCTGAAATGCTGGAATCAGCAGTGGATGTCTRTAAGAGAGTTGTTTTGTWTGTTTGGTTTAKTTTTTTCCCCTTGCAAGCTTCTTCTCCTTTTCACTTTTTGGTTGTCTTGTTTAATTAACTTACTTCTTTAAACAGAGAAAGTCTGTTCCCTGTTCCTAAAACACCAGTCTGAGAAAATTTAAAACATTTTCTTTTAAATTGAAAACAAAAGAAGAGTTCCCTCTTTGAAAGGAGGCATGTTTCATCTCTCTGTGGTTCAGATGGTTTCTTCTGTTTTCTGTGAATTTGAAACTTCACAGGGTGACTGGACTTTGAAATTTTGGTCCATTGTGAAGTCCACAAAAACAGAGTTAAGATAYAAAAAGAAAATAAAAAAAAATCAGACTACTCTCAGTGCTCTGACTTTTGCTGTTAAATTTTCTTATCTTTCTTTCTTATGCTGTCTCCTTCATATTTGTATCTTCTCTTTAGGCATCTTTGGCTTCAGCAGAGGCTCTCCCTGGACTTGCCTCCTGAAGTTTTTTCATTTTTCTGAAGATTTTCCATCCTTGTGTATCAGTAATGTCAGAGTGTATCTGCATCTCCCAAGCAGATGGATCCATTTGAATGGCACCTTAATAAGCCTTGCTAATTACCTTAGCTCTCCAGTGATTAACAGAGCAATTAATTTGTCTTGTTTTCAGATAAAGTGGACTCTGAATTGCTCCAAGGTTACTCCAGGTACCTGCCCCACGATACCATCATCATGACTGTGAGAGCAGCCATTCTGTTTGCTGTGCTGCTGACAGTCCCTCTGATCCATTTCCCTGTAAGTATTCCTGAATGCTCTGGAGCTGGCAGTCAGCACTGGTCACTAATGCTTTGCAGACTTCARTACTTGAGTCACATCTAGTCTTGTGTATCTTATTCACTTGTCAAGTGATTGATCAAAGACCACATATTTGCATATGTTCCATGAAAGCTCCAAAATAACAACTAACCACTAAGCTAATTTGTGCTCTTGAGACAGAATTCAGATTAAAACTAGCCCACAGCATTGTTTTTAATTTAGAGAATTCAGAACTTCTAAAGTTTATTTAGTTTGATTTTTTTTTCCTCTTAAATTGAATTTTGCTGACTTGGTTTTTCCTTTCTACATGCACGCACCCACACACAAACACACTTATACTTGAAACTCAATTTAATTGTAAATTAAAAACACATAGACTTACTTTACAAAAAAAACCCTACTTTAGCTTATCAGTGCTGTGATAGAATTGAAAATTCATAGTTAGGACCAAAAAAATCTGTGCAGGCAAAACTTTGCGTATGGAAGCAATGTATAGATTATGTATCAGTTGGCAACATGCAGACRTTTGCTACCAAGCATGTTCAGAGACAAAGCACTATCCCCCAGGCCTTCTTTTGTCCCTCCAAAAAAGGGAGGGGCCAGTAATTTCTGAAGACTAATGGCCATGTGATAAATCTTGTTTTAATAAAGTAATAAATTGCATTCTACACTGCAGAGAGACAAGGCATTAAATTATTGCTAAGCTTTTGGCATTTTATTTTTTAAAACGATTTTTCACATCTGGAATGACATAATTCTTAAGGTTATGAAATTGAGATAAGATCAAAAAATATGTACATGTATGTATTTACCCACACAATGTTTGTCTTTGTGTTGTGTAGGCAAGGAAAGCTGTGTTGATGGTATTTTTYTCTCATCTTCCTGTGTCGTGGATTTGCCATATCCTTGTCACCTTAACACTGAATACAATTGTTGTTCTGTTTGCGATGTATGTGCCAGACATCAAAAATGTATTTGGAATAGTTGGTAAGTTCTTGTGGTGGTTGGTTTTCTTGGTTTTTATTTTAACTTCAAGAAATTCAGGATATGATTGTGTAATGTACTTCAGTCCTCTCTAAACAAAATTTTACTTTCTGTTTTTTAAAGGTTCAACCACATCAACATGTTTGCTTTTCATTTATCCTGGGCTATTTTATCTTAAACTTAACAGAGAGGACTTTATATCACCACAGAAACTTGGGGTATGTTTTTTTTTTTTTTTTCATGTGCACTAATAACATTGAAACAGACTCATTTAAAATGCATTATAATACACAGTGGAGCACACAACCCGAAGGGCAAAGCTCTTGTTTTCCTTGCAGCTCACAAAATCTCTGAGCATTTTCTTTTATCCTTCGTGGTAGCTCTGGTCTTTCTGAAACTCCTTCACCAGAGATTTTTGGCAAGCAGTGCAAACAGTGTGTCCATGTGCTGGACCACTGATCTGAGTATGTGCCTTCCCCTATGGTTTTCAGATGTTGACTTTTAATTCAGTTTCTTCTCAGTTTTTACATGTTACTCTATGTTATCTGGGAAGCTGGGACAAAGCTAAACTGCAYTTAAGTGAAACAGTTTTTGTGTTTGTTTTCAGTGCAAGACTTCTCAAAACCACCTTTTTTTTTTGTCCTGTGCCTATTTTTTTGTCTCCTCTTTGTGGTTTCTCTTTTGGTGTAGTAGGTTAAGTTCTGGTTGGAATTTGTGCAGGAGTCTGCTTTTTGCACTGTAACTCTTCATTTTAATGACTGCTCAGCAGAGCAACTTCGTGGCAGTGGCCAAAATCCTGACAAACTGTTTATAGTCTTTCTGCCATTCTTATGATTCATGGGGCTGCTCTTGTATTGACAAAACAGGGAATCTGAAAGAAAATCTAATAATGRTGCCCTCTGACCATTTGAAGTCATGACTACTTCCAGCAGATTTGGGGCCTTGTTATAAATCAGCAAGCTACTGTCTCTTGAACTGTGGTTTTATCATCATCKGGCTATTCAAAAATGTAAAAAATCCATTGTTATTTTAATTGCACTTTGAGTAAAACACAAATTCCATTTCTCAATTTGCTTGGAGTTGTAAAGGGCAAGTTATCTTTTGTGCAGCTGGATAGTGTGAGTAGGGAGACCAGACTGCTCCAAGAGTTCCCAGTAAAACTATCCCAGACTTCGTTTAGTTTCCCACTAARCAGATACCTTGTGTTTGAGGACTGAGTAATTTGAAACAGATTATTTTAAGACACTCTTTATACCTATTCTTATGAACTTTTGTTATCATTTTTCATAAGCCTTGGACGTGTAAAATGCTTCTTTCAGCAAAACATTAATTTTTGCTTTTCTTTCTTCACAGGCATGTGCCTTGGTTATTTTTGGCATTTGTGTTGGCCTTCTCAGTTTGGTTCTAATACTTTTCAATTGGGTTCATCAGTGACAGCCTACTGGCACTGTCTGAACTGAGCTTCAGGAGGACAGCAAGAGCCAGAGAGGTGCCAACACTACTGCAATGAGTGCTGTTCATCCTAAAGAAACACTGACCAAAGCTGCCAATGGAAGAAGTAATGCTCTTTTCAACTCCATTAATGATGGCCTTTCTTTAATCTTGAGTCATGCTCTTCAGTTATTGGACAATTCWTCTTTACTGTTCTAAAATATGAGTTTTTTATGATGTAATAATGATAGGTGAAAAGGTGTCTTGAGAATTTCTGCGATGCAAAAATGGTTTGGGGCTCATCATGGCCAAAAGTAGAAACTTGACATAAATTATCCTTTCAAGACAACAAGGTGAATAGACATTACATTAGTCATTGTGTGTGATATATGCACTTACAGTAATGCACATTGTCCTAATCCTTGAAAAACTTCAATTGCTGGAATAATTTCCAAAATTTCAGCCAGTTCACATTAAGAACTTGTTGATTCCAAGTGTTTACCCTAGTTTATCTTAAGATGGATCCAGAAACCAATTGCCTTAGCTCAGTTTAATGGGCATGTCATGATAATATTTGTTAATTGTCTTTTAAAATAGTTTTTCTATGTCAGCACACTTGAATCATCTTGATGTAATTTTTAAATTAGCAGGCTTTGCCCATCAGGCATAATAGCTCTTAGTAGCATTTCATTTTGTATTTTCATTTTGCAGTTAATAATAGACATTTTTCAACTAATACTTGCTTTTGAAACCACTCAATATACCTCAATATTCCTCCCTGTGAAAGACTTCTCTTTTTCTCTCCTATTCCTATTTTTACAACTGTTTCAGGTTTGAACTGAAATGTTTCTACATTTTGTGTTCTGTTGTGTGTCAGAGAATATTTGGGCTTAAAAGATGAAAATCTGCCTCTGTTAAAGACAAAGGGAAATTTTACTTTTATGGAGCTCTCATTTTACCTCAGATGTCTATAAACTTTTCCTGTGGCATTGCCAGTGCTCCTGTCACCATGTTTATCCAGCAGAAAACCAACATGACCATGAGAGGTGACATTATCTGCCTGAAAAATGAACTTGCCTTCATTCTTCCAATTTAAACTTTGACTTCTGCTAACCAGCTGCCTTCCTGCCTGTGGCTGCYCTCTGATAGCTGTGTCTCACAGACTTTGTTACAGTGCAGGGATTCACATGCTCAGGGAATCTCTGGTACTGCTTTTAGTTTAGTATAAATCTAAAAATATACCTTGTAAAAGCATACCTTGAGTAAGCAGTGACAGCTGTACATCAGGAAATGATTTTCTGTCTGACTGAACCAACACTTCTTTGGAAAACAGGAGACCTTACATTGATGAGAATTAACTCAGGGATTTTTGTCAGACACTACAGTTTAGAGGGTGTATTTATTAGAAATACTATGGAAATTGTTTCTCATTTCTTATCTGCTCTTGTGGCATACTGTTGAGTAGTACTGGTAGGTCATCACTGCAGGCACTTTTACTTTAAACTCTAACCAATAATAGGTCTAATACTTCGATTATCTGTGAGGGGACAGAAAGKTGGCCAAGCTTTGCTAAGCTTTTCCTCTTCCACCCTCTCCCTGAAAAAGCTGAGTCTTGCCATGCACTRTGATGCTCTGTTGTACTCAGACAGTTTGCTTTGTGTGCATCATCTTGAAAATGTGACTGAAAAAACACCTGAAATACAGTGTTAACTTTACAGTGGATTCCTGTGGTGCTGCAGAAATCACTACAGTATTGRTTTTAATCCTTGGGTATTATCCTAACTAGCCTGGCTATTGACTATCCTGATAGGTAGACTTTGGAATGATGAATCCCAGTGTATGAAGCTAATACTTGATGAGGATGAATGGGAGCAATTCACAGCTCTGCTGAGCTCTGTGATTACATTTTGGCTGTGGTGCAAAAGGGATAGCACAGGGTTTTACAGAATGCCTGTTACCTTTCATCTGAAAAAGAATTAGAAATGCTGTTGCTTCTGAGTTTCTGAAATTCATAACTTAAAATATAGAGGAAGGAGGGGAGGGAGAGAGAGAGGCAAAAAAAGAGCTTCTGTTGCCAAATTTAGAAGGTATGAGTGTTGTCCACAATGAAAAACCAGAGTAAGGACACTRTTTTTATCCTTCTCATCTCCCATGKCTGTTCTGTRYRTTGTGTTTYAWGGGTTTACCTAGAAYTGTGCACTTCAATGYAGTTTTTGAGCAAAAAAGGCCTCCAGTCKGGAGCTTTCAGTTCACTCAAATGCTGACAAATATTATCTTCATTATTCTTGCATGGAGTTATTTTCACTTCCAAATGTCCACATTTATAAATTTCTGTGATGCTGCTTTGTTACCTGTCATTAGCATTTTCCACCCTTCTTTTCTGAAGACTTGACAGAATGGCTGATGGGACCCACAGCATTTCTGAACTCTCTTGGAAAGGTTTCCTTTCCCCAGTTGAGCAGGACGAACAGTGTAAGACATGAAAATTAATTGGCTGCCTTTGATTTTTTTTCTCTTTTTCTCCTGTTTACATTCCTTGTCCATTTGGAGGCTGCTGAAATTTCAGCTGGACTGTGATAAGCTGGGTGTGAAGAGTACTTTTTGTAACCAGCATGGCWGGAAGGAGACTGCCAAACAACATTGCTCAAAACTAGGATTGTTGTAGAACTCCTTTTCTGGTTAGATTTAATGTAACACTTCAACTGAAAATGTATTTTCCGGTTCATCTTTGTGTTGAAACAATTCATTGTAGCTGCTCTGCATGTGGAGAAACCTTTGGACATGTTTACTCTTACTGCCAGTGGGAGAGAATTTTCAGTATTATTAAAGTGCTGTGTAATTTCTGCAGTTTGTGGTGGTGGTCTTGGTAACTGTGTGCTTCAGTGGTGCTCATCCAGCCATGCTTTGTATGGAAATGGAATTCCCAGAAGAAATTAATAATGATGTGGATGTAAAAATTKCCCAGCTTGTGTCAAACCTGTGTGTTGTACAATGAATTTTCTATTTTGAGTTCTCCTTGCCTCAGGTTCACTGTGGAATAGCCAGGGCATGTTTCAGAAATGACCAGCGGAAAATAAAGAACTGTTTACAGTCTACACAGATGTGTGTGATCCCCAGTCTGTTGTGCAGGTGATGTTTTGCAGCACCCAGCTCGAAATGTTCCCAGCTGCCAATCCTGGGCCAATCTGTTCTTACTGACAGATTTTACTCTTTGGACTGTGCTCTCCAAAGCACCAGGGAGCAAGAAGTGACTTGTCCAACGAGAACTGCAGTTGTTGTCCTCCCAGGTATCAGTTCATAGACAGCAAACCGGCCTCTTTTGTGCTGATCTGATCCCCCCATAAACACAAGCCAGCAGAATTTATCTCAGAGGCTGCACAGCTCTGTGCCATCACTGCCTCTGGGATGTGTGGACAGGGTGACCAGCTGGCCTGTTAGTGCAGAACAGGGTGGAAAACTTGTGGAGACCCCTTGGGAAGGGACTTCTTGTGCAATAAGGAGAGGGTTGGTCAGGGTGACAGGGTATTTTGTTAGTGGGTAGCAGCGAGAGGAATGATGGCTGACCAGGAGGAGCTCTGGACCATGGATGTGCTCTCTGACTAAATCACAGTGCTCTCCAATAGCTGTGTCCTGTAAGTGCAGCTCCGAGCTTTTTGCAGTGTCTAAGGGAGTCCTGAGAATAAGCAAACATGGATAAAACCCTCATTATTGTGTTGCTGGCTTGTCTCCAGAGCTATGGGAGTGCTCACACACCTGGAAATGAATATCAACAACCCTGTTTACTTAACGGTGCTTGCCTCAAGTGGAACTGGCTGTAAAGAACACAAACCCTGGTGTTTTCAAGCGCAGTGCAGAATTCTGTCCTGTTCTGTTGCTGAGTGTGTCCTGTCCTCAGCCTTTCTCCTGCCCCCAGCATCCCTGCTYACACATCAGTGGTTTGCACTACAGCCCTGTGACGCCAGGCAGCTCCYGRCACCTGGTTTGAATTTAAAGCTCRTTTGCACATGATGTCACACTTTTATTGTCAGCCCAGTGAAGGTCAGGACAGTTCATTTTGGGAAGGTTTGCACTGAGCCTTTACATTGCTGCCATTAATGCCTTCCCCACCTGATTTACATTKCAGATTTCAGGCATGATTTAATCGAAGTCGCTGGGTATCTGCAATGGAACAGAGAGGTTGGTGCTGTGGCTGATCAGCCAGGGATGCAGGACTACTTCTCTGGAGACAGGCTGGAAATTCCTGCTGCACGCATCATGTAGCAAATCACAGAYCTGGCCAAGGAGAGTTAACGAGCCCTGGAAGCTCGGGGCGGTTGTTCCAGTCTGTTGCCTTTCAGGAGCCCGTCTCACYGCTCTGCAGACCAAAGTGAGACAGTGTTCCTGGGAGCCCCTTCTCCCCGCCCTCYCAGGTAGCTCCACTTGATAGTGGGATTTACACGCAGGGATGGAGAAAAGATTTGAGATGTGGTTATAACAGCACAGAGCCTGTCAGGCTGGAGTTGAGGGCCATGAAAATCTCAGGCCTTGTTTTTACCTTCGGTCACACTCTGCTGTTTCACTGTGCTTTGGGCTGAAAGGGAGGCTTTAGTGTAGCATTTCCCCAGCTGGGTTTGTGCAGCTTGTGGCTGTGAATCTCATGTAGGAAGGGGTTAAGGAGCCTCTGTTTTACAGCTTCCTACAGGTCTGGCACTGAGATGGCTCATGGGACACATGTTTAGTGTTTTGCTCCCGGTTTTGATGAACACCTTCCATCCTTGTTAAAGAGAAAGGTGACTGAATACATGGGGTTTATTCACTTCTCTGTTCACACTGCTACAATCCRCTTCTCTTTCTCCAAATATAAAAATCAATATTTGACCCTCTGGCACAAAGCTCTGAAGAGCCTGAGCAGTGAGGCAGAATCWGSTGCATGTTGGTGTCCTGCTTGCAGRCAGCAACTTGCCAGGCACTGGTGGGATGGAAAGGTGAAGAGCTGAGCCCTTAYAAAAAATAAATTTGATATTTATTCATTAACCCTGTCACATGAAAATGGCCTACTCTGGATTTGGTAGGCATAGAGACCAGTGAAGTGGAACCAGAGCGATTCTCGTGGCACTTTGGGTTTGCTAGCAGTCACCACAGTACTTTCTAAGGATCAAAAAGTGCATGAGGTAGGGATGAGCAAGAGCTGTCTCAGCTGTTACACAACCAGTAATACCATCAAAGGCAGCCAGGCTTTATGCAAGTGATCTCTAATGGGATTAGAGAGAAAGGCCCATGTCTCACCCTATCCCACAACAAGGTGGACCCCATAAAGTCTGGGTGCTCCCTGGAAGCCACAGTGGGACAAGGAGCTGCATGGATACAGTCATTTTTAGTGCTCATCAGTGTCACCGTTGGAGCCAGCTCAAAAATTTTTGAAATTGTGCAGTTTTCCTTTTGGTATTTTCTGGAACAGTTTCCGTTGCTGTTTACAAGTTGTATCTTCTGAAATCATGTCACCAAAGGGAACATTCATCTGGTTCTTTTCCAAGGGGAGATTACTCCAGTGATGGTGGAGAGTCATTGTCTTGGCCTGGTTAGCCAAAGACATCAGTCTTGCCATTCCTTAATCTGACAGTTCAGTGTGGTGGGTTGGAAGCCAAAGAATGACATTTCCCCAGAGGATGCAAAACATCAGGCTGAAACTCTGCGGAAACCATGGATAGATCTTTTTTTTCCACCCAAAAATTATAAAAGTCGATATTCCACCTTCTTCCAGCCCTTGAAGCCATTCCTCCAGGRCCTGTGCCTC